CAAAACTTTGAATGTTAGCCATGCTCATACAAATGCAAAACATGTTAAAATTATTCTAATTATTGCACAAGCTGTAATGAAAATAGATTGCTTCCTTTTTGTGATTGTGATTCTCAATATGAAGAAATTAATAAATAGTGCTAATAAATTGTATGTGATAAAAAATGCTTAAAATGTGAATTTTCATCATCTAACTGTTTGCTGTGTAATACTGGTAGAATCAATCCCCCAGAATGTAATTGCTAAAATAATTACAGACCAAATTTATCAGATGGAACCTGCACAGAATGTCCCTCTGGCTAGTATTATGATTCAAATAGTTAGTTATGCTAATCTTGCATTTTACCATGCTTAAAATGTGTAAGTAAATCCAATTAGTGCTTAATTTGTTAAGATGGTTTTCAATTAAAGCAAAATTTATGTACTTGTCCTAATGGTAATTCTGTAGCGTTACTAAGTAATGGCTAATATGGATGCTTATAAGGCATGGAAGTTAACTTGAATGTGAGTTTATAAAATGGATTTTATTATCTTAATTTTATCTTTGATTAAAGTATTAAATAATTAGCTGCAATTTATTTATAAGATATCAAAAAATTAATTAATTTAAGTTTTTCTGAAATCCCAATTGATTGTTTTTCTATTGATGAACCTCTAATATAGGGAAATAAGCTCAGAGTAAAATTAAATATATTGAAAAGCTTTTAAAGTATAAGAGGGTTAATTCGTTTCATAGATTGCTCTTAATTTATTAGTGTTTCTGAAAAATATGTTCTTGACATAAAGTATTAAATAAATACTTTAAGTTTTGAAATAGGGCCATTTCTTTTTCAATACTAAGAAGTATAGAATCCACAGCTAAATCAAATGAAAGACTATTTAGTTTAAAATTCAGCAGCAAAGTAAGTTTTTCAGTAATTCTAGTTTATACTTTACCTACTAAATACTGCATAGCCAACTGTTCTACCTTTACTGCTAAAAATGCAATTTCCTCCAAACCTTTATTAATTCTATTAAGTAGTAGGTTTATTGATATATCCCGATGTATCAGATTATTAGTCAAATAATTACAAAGAATCATTTCAGCTTTTTTATTTAGATTTAAATAAATCAGAAGTCTATATATCTAATAATGATATTTTCAAAAGAATAGGTTTTAGCAATAGCTGTTTAGTCAATTTGTAAGGGGTATTTTTAAAATACTTTTTTTTACTTTTAATTTTTATGATAGCTTCATTTAATTTCAATTATTACAAAAACAATAAGCTAAGATTAAGTATTGGAAAGATTATGGTTTTTTTGTGTTAAAGAATAAATTAAGAAAATGAGTCTAACACTCTTTTAATTTTAGTATCTTTTTTAGTCTAATTTGTTAACAATGATTTAACTATTTGGGCTGTTAGATATGGTTTTTATATAGGTTTCTTATTAATCACTGTTATGGTTTCATCGATAACTTATAATTATTATTAGATTTCATAAAAAAAATAATTAAATGAAGATGATTTTTCTTTTAAGTTAATTGAAAGGATAAACAATAATGATAAAAATAAATTTCATAGATTATACTTCATCTTATAGTAATTAAAAAAATATTTAATTATTTTAGTATTATTTTTTCTATAAAATTTCCCTATTACTATATGTGCAATTAACGGAGCTATTTTATTATTATCAGGATATTAGACAATTAGATTTAAGCCTTACAAGTTTTTATTAAGTAGAAATATCAAGATTATAGGAGAATTTGTATTTTCATCAATATGGTTTTTACATATTTTTATTATAATCATAGAGAAAAAGTTATATGAATAGACTGTTTTTGATGAAAAAACAATAGATATGTACATCAAATTAGGATATGTCATAATAGCTTTATTATTGTTTTTTAATATACTTTTTGTAATAGAAATACTACTTCAGTGCTATCTATTTATAAAAACTAAATTATCAGAAAGATAAAATGGTTCCTCCTCATAATAAAATCTTAATCGTAAGTAGATTCTGGATGAAAATAATTAAATAAGATTATTAAAAAATAAATTAAAAAAATGATGAATAATCTAAACTCTAAAATGATTTTTAGTTAAAAGAGAATTAAGAAGTAAATAAGTTAATTATATATTACTTATATTGTTTATCTTTATATATATATATAAATAGCTTTATAATAAATAAATTTATTTTTTATAATTTATCATCTATCTTCTATTTATTAATCTTTTTTTAAATAAATATTTAAAGAAAAAATTTCATATTTTTTTATGTGAGAAATATCCATAAATCAATATGTATGTAGGTCACTATTGTTAGTAATATAATAATTACTTAATTTTAAATTTCTTAAAAAATTTATTTAAAGTAATTAATACCTTTGTATGTATAAATAATTCTTAAGCGATACTAAATTTTCTAAAAAATATTAGTTATATTCTATATATTTTTTAAATTATTGCCTTTTATTAATATTTATTTTTTTATTTTTGCAATCTTTTTTTAATATTATTTTTCATTGAATTTTTTTTTGTTTCTTCAATTTAATTATTTCTAATTAATTTATTTTTTATAATTTTATAATAATTTATTTATAGATTTTTTTTTTTAAGACAAAAAGAATAATTCTTGATCAAAATTTATATTTTTTTAATACAATTAAAAAATTTTTTTTGTTAAGAATGAAAAAAAACATATGATTTATATTTATGGAACCTTGATGCATATTAATTCTTTTTTTAAAAAATATTATTTATTTTTTTAATAATAATTATCTTTTATTAAATTTGTAGGGTGCTCTTTAATTTATCTTTATGTACTAAGAAATTATTAAAAAACAAAATAGGTAATTCTTTATTTTGAAATTAGTTCATTTTGTACTATCTTTATATTAAATTTTTATGAAATAATTATTTTAGCTCTAAAACATAAAAATTAATTAAAATATTTCAAATAAAAAAATTATTTAAAATTAATGAAAATACAAGAAAGTACAGAAAATTTTCTAAATAAATGAAAAAAATACAATTTCTTGAAAATTTTAATTAATTTGTAAAAATATTGTAAAGTAATTTATACTATCTAGAGCATTTAATTGAAAATATAAAATTTAAAAAGTATCACATTTTGGGTATTTACTCAGTAAATATCTAATTTGTATTTTTTAAGTTGTAATTGTATAAAATATGTATATAATCCAAGAAATAGACTAAATCACCAAAATTTACTTAATAGATAATTTATTTTATTAAAATAAAAAATTTTAACATACTTAAACGGAAATAAAAACCTATTGGCAATATTTTTAGATTTCAATATTTGCTATTATATTTTGCTCATTATTTTTATCTAAAAATAAATAAATAAATGAATTTATTGGATGGTTAAAAAGGAAAATTTCTGTTTTTACAAGAAACCAGAAGTTGATTGGCTATGTTTTATAGAAAGAAAATCAAAAAAGGAAAAACAAATAAATGATTTTTACTTTTAGATTATTTAATCTGAAAAAAAAATTCATTATTAAATAATTGATGCGCTAAAAAAGTAGTAAGCAAACAAAAAAATAATAAATAAAAAGCAAAGATAAGAAAATGAAAGTGATGAGATACATTCTTATATACCTATTTCTTCACTCTAAACTATTATAAGTTTCATCAATTAACTTGAGTAGTGGCTAGTCTTAAATTATGAAGAATTTTGCATATACTCCATGCGATCCTATCTATATTTCATAGTAAAAGCAATTCATATACTATGGAATTAATTTGCTTCCCATTGATGATTTACCCTACATTACTAGTTTCAGCATTTCAGGATGGTTTCTTTTTAGATAAGAATACATTTAAAAGTATGATATCCTAACTGTGTTTGAGAATACTAGCACTTTTTTATTCAAAATTTAATAAAATTTCCTTGTTTAGTAGGTTAGATCTACTCTTTCAGATTCTTCATAAGTTTTTTCTTAAAGCGTTCCATTTTTTTAATTTTCATTATAAAATTGGTATTTCTGCTAGTTCAATTTAGAATACAACTAAGATAAAAGCACGATGTACTTAAAATCTTATATCTATTAATCATAAACAGTATATTTATATTCTTTTCAATAATCTTCAAGAAATAGTTTCTTTTAGAGCAGTGGTTTAATTTTTAATTTAGGTAATAGCTAAGGAGGAACAAGTATTTCTCCTAGCTGCACTTTTCTAAAGTAAGTATATTTGTATTGGAATGTAAACCAGTAAAGTGCATTTTAGCTAAAATATGATTAAGCTTCTATGGACACCTTTATATTTTGGAGCTATGAATTTGCATATACCCAAAAAAATAATAATTATTTGATAGAAGACATTCCACCTGGAAATAAGCTTCCGCTATCATTTTAATTAGCTTCTAACTTTTAAATTACAAACAATTAGTTTATCTAAACAGATTATATTAATTGCAAAGAATTGAATGGATTTGTTATTTCTTTTCATTTTAAATTAGATGCATCTACTAACTTATCTGGTGGAAATAAGATCTACTTAGTAAAATTTGTGCAATTAAAAAATATTATGTAAATCTCTGTTGTAAACGGAGCATTAAATTTTTCTGGTGTTAAAGTGCCAAATGTTTAATTTAATCGTTGGAATTAACTTACAATAATTTATAAATAATTTGATTATTAAATCAAAGTAATTCTTATAGTGAATGATAATTCATAATTTACGGAATCGTAATATTTATCTTATTAACTATTAACACAAATTCAGTTTGGGGATTAATTAAATAACAATGTAATTCTATTTTTAGCTCACTTGAGATATTACAAAGGATTTTATTTTATAGATAACTCTTCATGTTTTCTATAAGGCTCTAAATCAGATAATTCTTGTATTATTTGTAAAGGTGAATACTTAATTGATTATTAAAATAATTTCACATGCGTAAAACCATCAAGCATTAATTATAGTACACTAATAGACAGTGTGAGAGATTGGTATCCTAAATAATTCTAGTGCTAATAAGATATGATACTTGATAGATAAACTGGAATATGTAAATGTAGACATTAATTCTATAGAAAAGGAGATTAATGTTACTAATGCAAAAATTATTGCTAAGGCTGTATTGACGCTAATACATGTATATAAATGGATCCTAATAGAATGTAAAATGGTGCTTGCAAGGCTGATTATTTTGATGATGGCTATTCCTGCTTACTAGTTAAATTTAACATAGATTCTCTATAAAATTTTTATAAAACTTTGTTTATTTAATAAGCTGGAGGAGTTTGTAACTAAAATCCAGACCCATCTACATAAGTAACATATCCTATATTAAGAATAATAACAAAAGTTGGTTAGCTATTTGCTTTTTAATTTAAAATTATAACACCTGAAGCATATTCGTGCCTTGCTTACTTAGCAGATAACTTAGGTAATGAAGTTTTCACAGTAATGTTCAAGACACAGACAGTTACCTCACCTTGGGGAACAACTGGTTCTATTTCATATTACTATGTTGCTTTCTTAGCAAATGGCATTTTTTTGTAATAGGTTTTAATAAACAAAGATGATTATACATGGATAGGAATTTATACAACATATGATTATGTTATTTTTTTTATTAATACTAACGGATAATAACTTCAAACTCAAGCTTATGACGTAACTAGCCAATTTTCTTCAATAGATTTCAGTTAAAAATTTACTTTATGTGTAGGGTAGTGTAAATCTAAATATTAAACTTCTACAACTTTTATATGCGCTGACTTTTAATTTTTTCAAATAATATACATTATACAATACCCAGAAGATATTAGATAGATGTAAAATTTAATAGCTCTTTAAACAATTGTAGCCTTTTCATTTACAGTAAATTTTGAAAGCATTAAATTTACTAATTAGTTTAATGATTAAAATACAGGCGCAAAACTTAATATTTCAGCAAATCCAAATAATACTTTTTTTGATAGGTTTAAAGGAATTCTGTTCTCGCCATAAAATTCAGGATAAATTTCTAATTTGTCTCTTTAAAATAGAATACCAACAATTTCAGTAAGTATATTTATACAAGAAATTACTTATCAAGTTTAAATCTTAAAATTGATCTAAGCATCTAATTTATAGTTGGAATATTACATAGTTCCCTACGGGACTAGAGCTTTCATAAGAATTTGCTACAATGATTTACAATATTTCTATAATTCAAAGTGTTAAGATACAGTTTACTCAATGCTATTTTTGAATTAACCTAATACACTTTAAATCATTTATAGAAATAGAAGTCCTTATTTTAGTGATATATTTATTTAAGAGTTTGAAATAATCTGTAATTACTAAATTGAAATTATGACATTCACTAATTCTCGTTTATCTCCTATTATCACAGATACACTTTTCTTATTCTAATAAACTAATGAATAAAATTCTGGAAATTTTCTTATTTACTTAAATCAAATTGAAATTCATGTAGGAGACGGCTCCTATTATGAAGATATATCTAATTATAAACCGTGCTTTCTATTAAAGAATGTTTATGATATGAAGTGCCTAATCTTAAAAAGTGGGTTTTTGTTTTATAATAATGTTATAATAACACAATAAGATTGTCTTTCATACTCATAATATTTAGGAACTCTACATGTAATTAACTACTCAGCTCAGCAATGCATAGATACGAAACTTACAAATTTATGTATCGAAATCTATAGTTAAAGCTAAAATATCAAGTGTAAAACTTGCAAATATCCAAATTCAGATCCAAATAATAATTGCTTGTGCCCATCAGGAATGTTTTTGGATGTAAATTATTATTATTTTTTTTTAATTTAAAATTAATCCCACTTTTTTTTTACTAAGTTTTATAATATTTTAATAATTTTTAGAATTGTAAATTTAAAAGATTTTTAAAATTTTTTATTTAATTGATTTAAAAAAAATGTTATTTTTGTTCTTATCAAACTTGTCTATGATTAATTAAATTTAATTTTACACTTTTGCAAATAGTCGACTACTTTGTCCTGTTAAAAATGTAACCCGTACTGTTTAACTTGCAAAACTTCAAGTGACAATTGTACTTCTTGCTTATATCCAGATTAAGCACCTCCCCAATGCAATTGCATTTAAAAAAATATGTATTTAGATACAAGTCACATATGCTAATATTGCTCTTATAAATGCCTATCATGTGAATTTTAATCTGATTTATGCACATAGTGCGGATTCTATAGAGAGACACCTCCATTATGTAATTGTAGCCCATAATACTAAGAGATTAACTAAATATGTTACCCATTAATTTGTGATACAAAGTGTGAAAGCTGCTCAAATACTTCATCAAATTGTGCTACTTGCAAATAAGGTAGAATTTAACCTCCTAACTGTGTCTGTGATATAAATTATATAGAAAATTTATTTGATGGCACTTGCGTTCCTTGCCCTTAAGGATAATTTTATGACTCAAAATAATAAGCGTGCATAGCTTGTATTGCACCTTGTAAATCGTGTTCTGGCTAAGCAAATTACTGCTTAGAATGCTATGAAGGTTTTATAGAAGAAAAAAATGATTGTAAATGTTAAGAAGGATTCTCAGTAGCTAAAATTTAAAATAACAAATATGATTGTTTGAAAAATATGGGAGTAAGTCTAAATATTGTTTATTCTAAGTCATCTTACTATCTTAACTTTAAATTTGATTTAGATATTGAAAATATAAGTAGCTACTATCAATAAAATATTGATAAACTAATAAATTTATATTTTTAAGAAATTCCATCAAATTTATATTCCATAAGCAATCCAACTATTTCAGGAAATACACTTATTGTGAAGATAAATATTATGAAAAGTTTCCAAACTTTGTCAGGTAAAGTTAAATTTTTTGACACAAGTTAAATTGTTGATGTTTCAAAGAATTATGTTCTTGATAGAATATATTAAATAAATCCACTTTCTTTTACTATTGGACCTTTCGTATTTAAAGAATCTACTCTAGGTTCTGGGTTTATTAACTAAGTTTTAGATAATTTAGAATATCAAAACGCAGGTGTAAATAAAATAGCTTAAGAGTATTAGTTAATCTTATATCTTATAAATACAGCTTAACCAACTTTGCTTTTTTTCCTTTTAAAGGCTCAGTATCCTCCTAATTTATATAAATTCTATTAAGTCTTCGGAAAGCTAATTTTTCCAGAAATAGTTGATTATTAGTTATAAAATTATAAACAGCAATTCCAATACTTATATATGGACTTAAATAATACTGAAGTTTATTTAGCCAACAACTAAATTTACAAAAGATTAGGATTTTCAAATAGCTTTTTAATAAATGCTTAAGGAGTTATAAATAAATATATTTTAATCTTATTTTTAATCCTAACAATTTAATCAATAATTAATATCTTTTTTTTTTAAATTTCAAATGATAAAATGTAAAAATTAGAATCTTATAAATCTAAAATTATTTAAAGAATAAATTCAGAGAATGATACAAATTTAATACTTCTTTTGACATCTATATTTGCTCAATTTACTTTTATAGATTAATCTGTTTGGTCTATTAGATATGGATTTTATATTAGCTTAATCTTTATATTTATATTTGCAATATCGTTTTCTGTAAACTTTAAAGAAATAAACACTAAAAAATGCTACTCTGAGAGTGATTTCAGCTTTTAATTCACTGAAAGATTAGTATTTTTTTATCATAAAATTCGTAGAAATTACTTTTTGATTTAGCTATTTAAAAAATATCTGCTTTCTTACTTATTATATTAACTATAAGAATTTCCTATCATTTTATGTGTAATAAACGGTATTATTATGTTAATATCAGCTATTTTAACTCATTTAAATAAACCTTACAAGGATAGAACAAGCAGGATTATTAAAATATTGGGTGAAATAATACAGGCAATTGTATGGTTTCTTCATATAGGAATAATACTTGTTGAGAAGAGCTTGTACTAAAATGTAATTTTAGACTAAGATTTAATTGATAAATACCTTAACTTGGGCTTTACTATTATAATTTTGTTAACATCCTTTAACATATTGTATATAATAGAGCTATTTCAACAAATATATACATTAATAATCAATTTTAGTAATAAAAATCATAAGAAATAAAATTATAATTTATATAAAAATGATACAGCTAATACAATTTAGTAGTTTAAAGGTTAATAACTAAGAAAAAGTTAATTTAAATTACCAAAAAAACTTAATAAAAAATTAACTAATCGAAATGAAAAAAAAACTGATACTTTTGAAATAAATAAATGAATTAAACTTACTTGTTTGAGAATTTTTATATTAATTTGAATATCATTTTCTTATTCTTTAAACAAAATTATTATATCTGGATTTATTTTCTATTTAAATATTTAATTAATTAATAACTTACCTTAAATATTCTACTATAAGCCACACAGATTTTAGAAAATAAAAAAATTTTTTTGTGGCTAAAAATGGAAATAAAAACCTATTGGAAAGAATTAATTTTAATCTTTAAAAATTTTAGATTACAATAAATATTTTTTATTACACATTAATATTATCTAAAAATAAATTAATATATATATTGATTTATTGGACGGTCAAAAAGGAAAATTTCTGTTTTTACAAGAAATTAGAAATTTATTGGCTACATTTTATAGAAAGAAAATCATTAAAAGGAAAAATAAATAAGTAAATAAATGATTCTTACTTTAAGATTATTTAATCTGGAAAAAAAAAATTCATGATTAAAAAAGAATTTATGCACTAAAAAAGTAATAATTAAAGTAGTGAGCAAACAAAAAAATAATAATAAATTTGAGTCGTAAATACTAAGTAAAGATAAGAAAATGAAAGTGATGAATTACATTCTTATATACCTATTACTACACTTTAAACTATTTGAAGCTTCATCAATTAACTCAAATAGTGGCTAATCCTAAATTGTGAAGGATTTTGCATATGCTCCATGCGATCCTAGCAATATTTAAGAGTAATTGGGATTCTCATATTATGGAATTAATTTGCTTCCCATTGATGATTTACCCTACATCACTAGTTTCAGCATTTCAGGATGGTTTCTTTTCAGATAAATTTACAACTAAAATTATGATATCCTAACTGTGTTTGAGAATACTAGCACTTTTTTATTCAAAATTTAATAAAATTTCCTTGCTCAGTAGGTTAGTTCTACTCTTTCAGATTCTTCATAAGTTTTTTCTAAAAGCAACTTGCTTTTTTAATTTTCATTATAAAATTGGTATTTCTGCTAGTTCAGTTTAGAGTACAACTAATAACAAAGCAAGATGTATTTAAAATCTTATATCTATTAATCATAAACCTAATATTTATATTCTTCTCTGTAGTTTACAAGAAGTAGTTCCTTTTAGAGCAGTGGTTTAATTTTTAATTTAGGTAATAGCTAAGGAGGATCAAATATTTCTCCTAGCTGTACTCTTTTAAAACAAGTTTATTTATATTGGAATGTAAACCAGTAAAGCGCATTTTAGCTAAAATATGATTAAGCTTCTATGGACACTTTTATATTTTGGAGCTACGACTTTGCATATACCCAACAAAATAAAGATTATTTTATAGAAGACATTCCACCTGGAAATAAGCTTCCGCTACCATTTAAATAAGCTTCTAGCTTTTAAATAATAAACAATTAATTTGTCTAAACAGATTATATTAATTGCAAAGAATAGAATGGATTTGTTATTTCTTTTCATTTTAAATTCGATGCATCTACAAACTTGTCTAATGGAATTACGATATACTTAGTAAAATTTGTGCAATTACAAAATTTAATGTAAATTTCTGTTGTAAACGGTGAATTAATCTTTTCTGGTATTTAGGTGCCAAATGTTTAATTTAATCGTTGGAATTAACTTACAATAATTTATAAACAATTTGGTAATTTAATCAAAGCAATTCTTATAGTGAATGACAGTTTATAATTTACAGAAATATAATTGTAATCTTATTTACTATTAACCCAAATTCAATTTGGGGATTAATTAAATAACAATATAATTCTATTTTTAGCTCACTTCAGATATTACAAAGGATTTTATTTTACAGATAACTCTTCATGCTTTCTATAGGGTTCTAAATCAGATAATTCTTGTATTATTTGTAAAAGTGATTACTTAATTGATTATTAAAATAATTTCACATGCATATAACCATCAAGCATTAATTATAGTACACTAATAGACAGTGTGAAAGATTGGTATCCTAAATAATTCTAGTGCTAATAAGATATGATACTTGATAGATAAACTGGAATATGTAAATGTAGACATTAATTTTATAGAAAAGGAGATTAATGCTACTAATGCAAAAATTATTGCTAAGGCTGTATTGATGCTAATACATGTATATAAATGGATCCTAATAGAATGTAAAATGGTGCTTGCAGCGCTGGTCATTTTGATGATGGCTATTCCTGCTTATTAATTAAATTTAACTTAGATAGTCAATAAAATTTTTATAGAACTTTGTTTATTTAATAAGCTGGAGGAGTTTGTAACTAAAATCCAGACCCATCTACATAAGTAACATATCCTATATTAAGAATATTAACAAAAGTTGGTTAGCTATTTGCTTTTTAATTTAAAATTATAACACCTGAAGCATATTCGTGCCTTGCTTACTTAGCAGATAACTTAGGTAATGAAGTTTTCACAGTAATGTTCAAGACACAGACAGTTACTTCACCTTGGGGAACAACTGGTTCTATTTCATATTACTATGTTGCTTTCTTAGCAAATGGCGTTGCTTTGTAATAGGTATTAATAAACAAAGATGATTATACATGGATAGGAATTTTTACAACATATGATTATGCTTTTTTTTATATTTATACTAACGGATAATAACTTCAAACTTAATTTCATGACGTAACTAGCCAATTTTCTTCAATAGATTTCAGTTAATAATTTACTTTATGCGTAGGGTAGTGTAGATCTAAATATTAAACTTCTACAAATTTTATATGTGCTGACTTTTAATTTTTTCAAATAATATACTATATACAATATCCAATAGATAATAGATAGATACAAAATTTGATAGCTCTTTAAACAATTGTAGCCTTTTCATTTACTGTAAATTTTGAAAGCATTAAATTTTCTAATTAGTTTTATGATTAAAATACAGGCGCAAAACTTAATATTTCAGCAAATCCAAATAATGCTTTTTTTGATAGGTTTAAAGGAATTCTGTTCTCGCCATAAAATTCAGGATAAATTTCTAATTTGTCTCTTTAAAATAGAATACCAACAATTTCAGTAAGTATATTTATACAAGAAATTACTTATCATGTTTAAATCTTAAAATTGGTATAACTAACTAATTTATAGTTGGAATATTACATAGTTCCCTACGGGACTAGAGCTTTCATAAGAATTTGCTACAATGATTTACAATATTTCTATAATTCAAAGTGTTAAGATACAGTTTACTCAATGCTATTTTTGAATTAACCTAATACACTTTAAATCATTTATAGAAATAAAAGTCCCTATTTTAGTGATATATTTATTTAAGAGTTTGAAATAATCTGTAATTACCAAGTTGAAATTATGACATTCACTAATTCTCGTTTATCTTCAATTACCACTGATACACTTTTTTTATTCGAACAAACACAAGATTAAAATTTTGGAAATTTTCTTATTTACTTAAATTAAATTGAAATTCATGTAGGAGACGGTTCCTATTATGAAGATATATCTAATTATAAACAGTGCTTTCTATTTAAGAATTTTTATGATATGAAGTGCATAGTCTTAAAAAGTGGCTTTTTGCTTTATAATAATGTTATAATAACACAATAAGATTGTCTTTCATACTCATAATATTTAGGAACTCTACATGTAATTAACTACTCAGCTCAGTAATGCATAGATACGAAACTTACAAATTTATGTATCGAAATCTATAGTTAAAGCTAAAATATCAAGTGTAAAACTTGCAAATATCCAAATGCAGATCCAAATAATAATTGTTTGTGCCCATCAGGAATGTTTTTTGATGTAAATTTTTATTTTTTTGTTTTAATTTAAAATTAAAATACTTTTTTTTAAGTCATTTAATTTTCAATTATTTTGAATGGCAAATTTCAAAGATTTTTAATAACTTTTATTTTATTGATTTAAATAAAAATAATATTTTTTAATTTATTTATAATAAATACATTTAATTTTACATTTTTGCAAATAGTCAACTACTTTATCATGTTAAAAATGTAACCCGTACTGTTTAACTTGCAAAACTTCAAGTGATAATTGTACTTCTTGCTTGTATACAGATTAAGCACCTCCTCAATGCAATTGCATTTAAAAAAATATGTATTTAGATACAAATCATGTATGCTAATATTGCTCTTATAAATGCCTATCATGTGAATTTTAATCTGATTTATGCACATAGTGCGGATATAATAGAGAGACACCTCCACTATGTAATTGCAGCCCATAATACTAAGAGATTAACTAAACATGCGAGCCATTAAGTTGTGATAAAAAGTGTGAAAGCTGCTAAAATAGTTCATAGAATTGTGCTACTTGCAAATAAGGTAGAATTTAACCTCCTAACTGTGTCTGTGATATAAATTATATAGAAAATTTATTTGATGGTACATGCGTTCCTTGTCCTTAAGGATAATTTTATGACTCAACATAATAAGCGTGCATAGCTTGTATTGCACCTTGTAAATCATGTGTTGGCTAAGCAAATAACTGCTTAGAATGCTAGGAAGGTTTCATATACGAAAAAAATGATTGTAAATGTTAAGAAGGATTCTCAGTAGCTAAAATTTAAAATAACAAATATGATTGTTTGAAAAATATGGGAGTAAGTCTAGATGTTATTTATTCTAAGTCATTATACTATCTTCACTTTAAATTTGATTTAGATATTGAAAATATAAGTAGCTACTATCAATAAAATATTGATAAACTAATAAATTTATATTTTTAAGAAATTCCATCAAATTTATATTCCATAAGCAATCCAACTGTTTCAGGAAATAAGCTTATTGTGAAGATAAATATTATGAAAAGTTTCCAAACTTTGTCTGGTAAAGTTAAATTTTTTGACACAAGTTAAATTGTTGATGTATCATAGAATTATGTTCTCGATAGAATATATTAAATAAATCCACTTTCTTTTACTATTGGACCTTTCGTATTTAATGAATCTACTCTAGGTTCTGGGTTTGTGAACTAAATTTTAGATAATTTAGAATACAAAAATGGAGGTGTAAATAAAATGGCTTAAGAGTATTAGTTAATCTTATATCTTATAAATACAGCTTAACCAACTTTGCTTTTTTTCCTTTTAAAGGCTCAGTATCCTCCTAATTTATATAAATTCTATTAGATCTTAGGAAAGCTAATTTTCCCAGAAATAGTTGATTACTAGTTGTAAAATTATAAACAGCAATTCCAATACTTATATATGGACTTAAATAATACTGAAGTTTATTTAGCTAACAATGGCATTTACAAAAGATTAGGATTTTCAAATAGCTTTTTAATAAATGCTTAAGGAGTTATAAATAAATATTTTTTAATCTTATTTTTAATCCTAGCAATTTAATCAATGGTTACTATATTTTATTTAAAAATTTCAAATGATAAAATATAAAAATTAGAATCTTATAAATCTAAAATTATTTAAAGAATAAATTCAGAGAATGATACAAATTTGATACTTCTTTTGACATCTATATTTGCTCAATTTACTTTTATAGATTAATCTGTTTGGTCTATTAGATATGGATTTTATATTAGCTTAATCTTTATATTTATATTTGCAATATCTTTTTCAGTAAACTTTAAAGAAATAAACACTAAAAAAAGCTACTTAGAGAGTGATTTCAGCTTTTAATTTACTGAAAGATTAGGATTTTGTTATCATAAAATTCGTAGAAATTACTTCTTAATTTAGTTATTTAAAAAATATCTGCTCTCATACTTATTATATTAACTATAAGAATTTCCTATAATTTTATGCTTAATAAATGGAACTATTATGTTACTATCAGCTATTATAACTCATTTAAATAAACCTTACAAAAGTAAAACTAGCAGGATTATTAAAATATTGGGTGAAATTATACAGGCATTTGTATGGTTTCTTCATATAGGAATAATACTTATTGAGAAGAGCTTGTACTAAAATGTAATTTTAGACTAAGATTTAATTGATAAATACCTTAACTTGGGCTTTACTATTATAATTTTGTTAACATTCTTTAACATATTGTATATAATAGAGCTATTTCTACAAATATATACATTAATAATAAATTTTAGTAACAAAAACCATAAAAAATAAAATTATACTTTATATAAAAATGATACAGCTAATTCAATTTAGTAGTTTAAAAGTAAATAAGCGTTTTTAAAAAAATAACTAGGAAAAAATTAATTTAAACTATCAAAAAAACTTAATAAAAAATTAACTAATGGAAATAAAGTAAAAACTGTTACTTTTGAAATAAATAAATGAATTAAACTAAACTTACTTATTTGAGAATTTTTATATTAATTTGAATATCATTTTGTTATTCTCTAAATAAAATTATTATATATGGCTGGATTTATTTTCTTTTAAGTATTTAATTAATAACTTATATTAAAAAAATATTTTATTAAATCCTAATACTGTCAAAAATAAATTTTGGAAATAAGTAATAAAATTTTTCTACATGGTTTTTTTTAAATACAAAATAAAGCATAACTAAAAAAAGAATTCTGAGAATAACTAACTATATTAATTATATAATTAGCAGAATCAGTTACCTTAGTTATTATTATCTTACTTTAAACAGTTAAGACAACCACTATTTATTTTATCAATATACTGATATTATTCACAAAATTGTTTACTTTTCATCTATAAAAATTTATTAATTATTAATAAATATTATGGATTATAATTCTTTATTTAGAATTTAAATAGAATCATCTTGAATGAAAAAGTAAAATATTTTCTGGATAATTAAATTTTATATACAAATAACTAATTATAATATTACATATTTACAATAAAATAATAATTTTTTTATTAGTTTTTATAAATAAATAAATGAATAAATCAAATTTATGCTTAGTTTTTCACTGGTTTGTTGTAGATCCTATGGGAGAAACAAATGTATGGAATTAAAATTTTCTGTGTATATCTGTTGAGAAATTCAATTCTATTGCATTTTCGTTTGGGATTCTTGAATCATCACAATTAGTGTGAATAGAGGTGTTTTCGGGTATGAAAATTAAAGAAGGCCTCTTGTAAGCACTTATACTTCTTCTGCGAGCTTGCTGGATCATATTTTATTATGTTTAGTTATTTTATTAATTATTATGGTTTTCTACTATAGCAACTGATATGCTCTCTTCTTGTATAGGATGATCTGTGTTAAAGAATCTTTTTTTATGTGGGTCCATAAACTCTAACAATCTCTAGTCTAATTAATCTTTACTTCCTTTTTATTTAATGTTTTAAAAAGCGTAGTAGGCTTGCACACATTTTTGAAAGTAGCCTGATTCTTGCAGTAAAAACATATTATTCCACTATTCATAAAGATTGCCTTAATGTTTATCAAATAAAGATTAGTTAATATCAGTTGCAGTTGATGACTTTCTTCTTTTAATTTCTTCTCTTTTATTTAAATGAACAACAGGTCTTGGAAGATAATCAAATAATTTTCTTTAGTCATCATTTAAAAGAAGCATTTTTAACTTGTCTACTTCAATTAATTTTTTTAAAATAAAAATAATATCCATCCTTTCTCCAACCTTTCTCATAGAATTTTAAATTTATTTATTTTTGTCAAATTTAAAGCATCCACAAGTAATCTTATGTAAGAAATAGCAAATGTAATCTGCACACTTCATCTTCAGTGTTTGTTCATTAGATTTAAACAATTTTTTGAAAACGCTATCAAAATCCTCTTCCTGGTTTTTTTATAAGTCTTCATCTGTTTTTTTTAAATTTTGCTTAGAAGTTTTTTATTCACTCTTAATTGCAAGTTATTCTTCATTTTCTTTCTTGATATCTAATTTAGCCTTTTGGTTTTCTAAAGCTTCTAAATTTACTAAACTTTCTACTTCTTTTTGATCTTTATTTACTTTTTAGTAATTAAAACAAATTTTATGTAAAGTGGAAGAAATTAATTAAGGAAATTCATAAATAAAATATTTTTATTTTCATTTTAAAAATATAAATTTAATAAAAAATAATAATAAATTGAAGTACTTATAGCAGTTTTAAAGATGTTATGTATTAATTTTGTAGTAGATCTTCTACCCTTTCTTATTGGAATTTAGGATTCAGATTAATTATTTTCTTAACCTTTTAAAGATTTTGACTAATCTATTTAGCACAAATTAAATTTCTACTAATGAATGTTACACTGAGTCAATGAAACTCTATCTCCCCTCTATTTTGTAATCATTTATACTTTAGAATTATCAAGAATTGAAGATTTTAATTTTTATCTTTGGATCTAACTTTCGTTTAATTGTGGTTGTAATATAATACTTGCCTGAATATTTTAATTTTAGTGAGGATTATTTATCTTTTGTTCTTAGTTTTTTATAGAATTGACATCATTATGTTTTACAGTTTATAACTCTTTCATTTCAGTGGCTTGATGAGTATCATGATTTAAAGTGTGAGTATTATGGTGTTACTTTTTATCATCTTCATCTAGATCTGATTCGTCATCATCTTTGCTCGAGAAATTAAAAATTCTATTCACTATTTCTGTATTGAGAGAAAGCTTTACAAAAGGAGCACTCAAAAAAAAGAAAAACGAAAAAATAGCTTTCATAAATCCTCCAATAGTGCCTATGAAAATTTAAAGCTTTTAGTAAGATCTCTGTGATATTTTAAAAAAAAATAAATATTTTAATTATTGAAAAATTAATAAATCCAACTAACAAATTTAAATTAGTTAGTTAGTTAGTTAGTTTTTAACTAGTAATTAATTGATATAAACAGTTGGACTTGTAAGATTTCATGTTTATTAAATTAAACAAAATTTAAAAAAATGAAATGAACAGTTAAACAACATAAAATGAACCAAAAATTTAAATTATTTTAATGATAAAAATTACTTCATAAAGTATTCCCTTTGGCTCAACTGAGCTTTGAAAAAGAAAAAGAGGTTTGGTGTCTAGATCTTATCTTGGCTCAAAATAACTATTTGCTTAACAGAATGTAGGATATTTCTACTACTTGTAGTTTGTAGTGACGTAATTAGAATCAGTAAATATATAGGTTTCTGTGAAAATTAAAGTATACTGAGAAAATTAATTATTTTAAAGGTTTGAAGAAATGGTTCTTTTAAAAATCTAGTAAGGTTAATCGAAGTCGTTAGGACTAAACAGAAAATCAGTGAAATAAATCTTAATTTTAGTTTAATTCACTATTTCCAAAGTTTATTGCTACGAGTATAAGCATTTACTCGGAGAGCTTTGATCCTTTTAATCGCAATTTTCTACTTTAAATATAATGTTATTGAAAATATCATCTTCTATAGAGCCATACATTTTTAGCTTTTAAAATAGATCTATGTCTCTAATGCATAAAGCATTTCCTTTATTTAACTCAGACTAGAAAAGTGGGAGAGAGTTTTTAGTAAAATGATCAAGCGTGCATGGACTTAGTTATATTTCAAAGGTTGAAAGCTAGTTATTTTAAAACTATTAATTAAGAGCTGTCAGCTTAAAGATACCTTCTGGATTGATGTTCATCCCAGATTTAATATCTTAAAACACAATAGCAAATACAAAATCATGAGGTAATTCAAGCGAATTGTCCTACTTGTCAGTAAGCATTTCACTTCTCAATATACTAGGGTTGTTTTTATTGATAAGATCACTTAAACTCACATAAATTAAAACAGCTACTAATATAAATAGAACTATTGTAAGGAAAGATCCTAAATAAGTTTTATGAACTAAATGATCTTCAAATCCTAAATTTACTTGATGCCCAAAATTATCAATGTCTAACAACCACTTCTTTAGCTTTTTAACCCTCTTTTTTTTGTTTAGATGGAATAATTTTTCTGCAATTTACATTTATTCTATGGTATGATTTTAAATCTAACTCATTTTTTAAAGGTTTTTATATTCTACTTACACTCTTTTTTTTATATAATTTCTAAAATTAATTTGATTATTAAAATAAGATATCATACTGTAAAACTAATTTCGTATTATCAAATGATCAAATTTTTTAATTTTAATAAAATCTGATATTAAAGTAACTTTACTTACCACAATAATTAATTGACGAATCAATTAAACAATACTCCTAAGCAAATTTTTGATTGTTAAGTAAATAAATTTTATGTATAATCTATAATATTTTAATTCATTTTATTTATAATAAATTCTTTTTTCATAAAAATTATTTTAATTACATTTAAAATTTATTTCTTTAATAGCTTAAAAATAAATCAAACTTTTTGAATAATATTAATCTTTTCAGAATATTGTTTTACAATGTATTTTCCAATAATTATAAATCATTAAATAAAAAACATTGCCAAATCTCCTTTAAAATTAATTTAATTTATATATATCAACAAAGAAAAAGATAGGAAATTAATTAATTATTAAATGAATTACTTGATTTTATTATTTTTTGATTCTTTTACTTGTTTTCAATATTAATAAAAAATTTTTAATTAATTCATTTCTTATTATTTTTAACTAAATTATTTATAATATTCCTCCATCAAAATCAAATTCTGAGTTAGCAAACTGCATTAATTTAGATGTAATAAAAATAATTAATTTTTTTTTAGTTTATATTATTTTAATAGATTTTAGAAATTGTTAATTTTCTTGAAATCAATTTTTTATATCAAAATTTTATTTCAAAAAATTATACTTTTTATTTTATTTATATGTTAATATATTAGAAAAAAAAGTACCGTGGGTGCGCATGTTAAAGGAAGATTTGAATTTAAGGAGAATTTTTATTTAATCAGCTTTATTTTTTTAAAAAAAATTATTTATCTTTAGGCTCTCTTCCTCCCTTAGTTAGCCTTTGTTTAATTTTAAAAAGTTATAAAAAAATGTAATATTGCTCTTTTTAATGAAAAAATGTTTAATTTAATTGATGACAGAAAAATTGATTTTCTTAAATTAAAAGTTAAATAGTTTATGATTTATTTTTAAGCTTTAACGAGTAATCTCATAAATTATTATGACAAAAACTCTTATTTTTAAATAATTTTTTGTTTAATAGCATCTAATTTTGAAAAATTTTATTTAAAATGTTTTTATTAAATTAATAAAAATAAATTTTTTTTATAATTCAACAAACATAATTTGATAGTTTATCTTATAAACATACAAATATAATTGAGTGGATATTATTTCTTAGAAATCTGCTCAAAGATGAATTGTATTTAACAATTAGATATTATCTTTAATAATATAATTAAAAATTAGCTTTTTGTTTGATAAAAATTTGTAAAATTTGTTAATTTTATTGGTATTGAAAATTAATTAATAATTTGATAATTAGAATACAATCAACGATCTATTTATTTATTAGTATTATTATTCTTTTGAAAATAAAATGCAAGAAAATGAAAAAGAGGAATGCTTTTATTAGATTACTAATCAGTCAAAGAATTAAGATAAAGATGAAAGCACACTTTCAGAAGTTAGTAAAAATACCAAAAGCTTTGATAGTACTATGGCAAATCTTTTAGAAAACGCAATTATGATGGAAGATTTTTAAAACAATCTATAAATCTAACGTTAAAGTCAATAAAATTAAAATGAAGAAAATATAATTTAAGGAATAAGCATACAGCCTAATTAGCAAAAGTTAATATAAGCAGAAGAATAGCTGCGCCAAAAAAAATACATGTATGTTTCTTACATCCAGCCAGATTCTTCTTTTAGACATTAAATAAAGCTGATTAACAGAAATGTTAAATATAGTGCTAAGACCAAGGAAATGCTGAACTTTCAGATAAAACCACCAAACCACTTATAAAATTTTCATAGTTATTATGACCAATCTCTAAGTGTCAGCACCTCAAAAGAAAGGAACTTATCTTAGAATTAGGATTTTAGAGAAAGTAAGAATAAATTTCACTCAAAAGAAAATGTTGAAAACTCTTATGTCAACCCATTAAGAGAGTACAATGCTAGTGTTGGAGTAAGATCTTCTCTGCTTGATTAAAATAGCAAATACTAAAGCAACAGTGTTATTGATGAATAGCAAGAGGAAGAGTAAGTAATGACTACAAGCTAATTCAGAGATAAAAAAATATCTAAGGCGAAAAAGTTTTAATCAATTCATAATTAATTTTCAATTGATTTAGATTCTTTAAGTCCTTCAGCTGCATCAAATCCTATTAACAGATATTCTTTTATGCCTAATAGCGAAGTGGCTAAAATATTTGGTATAATACCCTCTACTACTACTTCTAAAAAGACAAATAACAATTAATAGAGCAACTTAAGTTAGACAGATGCTTTTTTAACTAATACATTCAATTATACTCGAAAGCTTTATTTAATTGTAGTGCTGATACCTACTTAATTCATGATAGAGTTAAAATAATTAAAGATGTTTTATGAGCCTTTAGAGCTTGTTTCAATGAATAAAAAGAGACAAGGTGGATGCAACAAAACACTAACTAGAAAGCTTGACATGAATACTCTATCAGAGAGATTAATAAAATAAAATGACTAGTTTCCTTCTTATAAGATCAAAACAATACATATTCCAGTAAAAGGCTAGGTCGTAGATATCAAGAACGATGGTGCTTGGGCTTAAATTAAGAGAAATATGGATAATTTTTTTGAAGACTTAGACGATATTAGCTAGTTTCTTAATGGAAGTGAAAAGAAGCCATTAAAAGAATTAAATTTCGATTGTAATCTGTTTGATTCAAGAGAAAATAAAGGTTAAAGAAAGAAATTCCATTTTCCTTCATTTGTCTAAAAGAACTAAACTAAAAATAATAGCTAAAAATAAGATTATTGTTTTTACTATGATCATTTATTGTAAAAAATTTAAGACTTAAACGATCTACCATATTCTGATCTTGATATGAATTAAAATTTAATGATCGCAAGTTCTTCTCAGTTAGAATATATTAATTTAACTGACATTATGTTTGATAGTTCGATAGAAGACTAAGCCAGAAAGACCAATTTCGAATATCTTAAATAAAAAATATTAAATTAGAAGCCAAGACAAAAGTCTTCATATGAACCAAGAAAGGCAGATATAATTTAGTAACAGTCATCGTAAGCAAGTAACCATAATAAATCATTTATCATAAATGACAATGAAAGAAAAAGTGCTACCTAATTAGATTAAGATAAGTTGATATCGCCTTAAGTTGCCACTAAAAATTAAACTCCTTTAAATTATAGAGATGTTTTGGTAAACTCTCCATCTCAAAAGAGATAAAAATCGCCCTCTGATAAAAGAGAAAAATCTCCCTTCGTGCCTTATTAAAAAAGAAATTAAAATGAGCAATTATGGTCAGATTCAAAGAAAAATTATGAAGATTAAATTATAAAAGAAGAAACCCAAAACTAAAACCTAAAAGCTGATAACAATAACCATTTTGCATCGCTGGGGCTAGAAAGTATTGATGATACTCTGTTGCATGAAAAGAGTAAAATATCTTCCTCGTTAAATTACTATAAGCAAACCGAAAACAAAATCTTTCAATTCAACCCTTTGGAAGAAAATATGTATTCATATAGCAGAAATTCAAGTTGTAGAAACAGCAGTGCTTAAAAAAACAAACTTAGTCCTCTCTCTAGATTAAACAATTAATAATTATTTGATAAATTTTTAATCTAAAAAATACAAAAGCAAGCAAAAAAAATAAAATAAATAAACGTTGATTCAAGTCTGGATTCTATTGCAGTTTTCCCAAAGTAATTTGCTGTCACCACAACAGCTTATAAGACTAATGGACAAAATGAAAATAATTTTAACGAAGACAAAGTGATTTATCCTTTTAAATCAAAATGGATTAAAGTGAGAAAAAATATAAATATCCCTAAGCCAAACAGCAACTTATCACCTCATTTAAATAATTTTTCTAGTGTAAACGCCTCAATTAACATAAATGCTCAAGAAAAACTTAGATTATACTCTGGTTAAGGCTAAGAGCTTCAATCAAATTTTACAGGAGAAGATAAAATTCCTGAATATCTAAGGCAGAATATAATTTCATAAACAGTAAATGTCAGCAATTAGAATTATTAACCAGAAAACCAACTTCACTAAAGTAATAGCTTTTAGCCAAATTCTCAATCTTTTGAGATAAATTTCTAATTAGAAGAGGAAAAAACACTCTTAAATTAAATCAAGCAAACATATGATTCTAATAATATGAACTTAACATTTAATAATAACAAGTTGAGATTATCAAAAAAACAAGAATACAAAAGAACTTTAGTAAACTAAGTGCATGATGCAAAGTTTGCAGAACAATTCCATAAAGAATTTCTAAAAAAATTTGGTTTTAGCAGCAGCAGACAAATCAGCGAAATACTTTACAAAGATGCTTTCTTTAACTATACAAAAGAAGAGCTAGACATCATGTTTGGATAATTTTTAATCTTAGCAAACAATTGCCAAAGGTTTATGGAAAAACCTCTTTAAGAATTTCTTCAAGAATTTGAATAAAAAGATCAAATTTCTACAAAATAAAAAACCATCTATCTATTTTAAAAATGTTTACATACAAAACTCGGCATATTAAAAGAAACTTTTACTGTATTTAAAAGGCTGAAAGAGTTATAAGTGCTAAAGCCAGCTTTGAAATTTATATTATTGAATAACGATATGGTAGATTAACAATTCAATAGCAGTAAAGAAACCGATATTCAGTTTTATTGGAAGGATTTTTTAAGATTTAAAGCTTTTATAGTAGAACAGAAATGGAGTAGATTCGATAAAATATCGTTTTTACTTTCAATTATAAATCCTAATAACGAATAATATATGAGCTTAAAGCAAATAAATACGATTTTTCCTGATAACATGAAAGTAACAGATCCTAAATAAATCAAACTAATGAAGGAATTTTTATTCAACTCTCAGTTCCTAGTTGAAGGAAATAAAGTCGCTTTCTCTAGAATCAGCGATTGTCTGTAAAAGGAATTCTTTTTAAATATAAATGATTTTATAAATCATTTTTTAACAAAATAATAATGAATGAATGAATAATGACTTACTAAATCTTATTGTACATAAATTTATATTAAAATTTTTGTATTTTTTATCTAATTATAAATTTTATATAAATTATTTAATTTTACACTTTCTATTTAAAGTAAAATATGTATAAAAAAGTATTTTTTTGAAGGCGATATTAATTTTAATTGATGCAATACAATTTGTTAAGATGAACTAATCACTCATTTACATTTTTAATATATTTTTAATTTTCACAAAATTTTAATAAAAATAATAATAATATTTTTATGCCAAATTCTTCATTATTTACCCTAAATTCAAGTAAATATAGGGATAAGTCATTTCAGACTTTGAAGAATTATTTATTATTTTTGCAATTAATCTAAAAAATTTAGCTTCTTACAAATTTATAATAGATTGTGTATACATGGCTTAAAAAATATTTGAAATATCTCAAAATATTTATTAAAATAATGAAAACACTTTGATACCAAATTCTTCATTATTTGCCCTAAGTTTAAGTAAATATCAAGGCGAATTTGTTTATAGATATTTAAGAATACATTTTTTTTGAGACACTTAGTTACTCTATATCAAGAGGATAGTTATTGTGTTTATCATTTAAATGTTTTGCATTTATCTAAAAAATTAACTTCGAACAAATTAAAAATAGATTGTGTAAATATATTTAGTTGAAAAAAATATTGTAGGTTTTTGATAGTAAAATTAAAAAGTGTAAAATTGTAAAGTAATTTATTTTATTTTATTCTGTATCTAAAAAAGAAAATTCTAGTTAGGATTACAAAAATTAAAAGTAATCAGAAATTTCTAATTTGTAGATTTATTGGTTAATTAACTATTTTTAAATTGGCTAAAATATATTCATTCACTAGTTTTTAAATTAATTAATTTTCACAACTAAAAGAATGAGATAATTTTTATAAAAGTTAATTGAAAGCCAAGCACTTCAAGATTCAGCCGGTGTTGCTAGAGGTTTATACAGAGTAGCAGATGGATTACTTAAAAATCATAATGAAGTGATCAATACAGACTTACTCCTTCACTAAACTAAATCAACTTAAACTTAAATATAGCAGCAAAAATAATAGCAAGCTTAGGGCTTAAATAACTAACCGTTGTAATAATAGAATTAAAAAATCAATTCAAAAGATGCTACTCAAGAAGGAGTAGCTAAGATGAATGCTGAATTAGAAAAACAAAAGGTTTTTGCTTAGAAGTAATAAGAAGAGCAAATGTTAAAAGAACAATTAAAAATATAGGAGTAACTTGAAAAGGATAGATTATATAGATTAGAATAGCTTAAAATTTAAGAGCAACTTAAAGCATAAGAAGCTTAGCAATAGGCTATATTAAAATAAAAATAAGAATAAGACATAAAGAGTAGCAATGATATAACAGAAAAGCCTATTCTAAAAAATGATAATGTTTAATTGAACATGAAATAGCAAAATCAAGAAGAAGGAGAAGAGGAAGAAATAGTCCACAATTAATGTAATATTAAATTTGTTTTAAATCTAAATTTGAGCGAATGAATGAATAATTATTGTTTAATAGAATTTTCAGTTGGTGATGAGAAAGCAATCCCTTCTAATTCTGTTTCTAGAGCTTGGGGATTTGGTACTTTAGGTGTTTAATTAGCATATGGCGCTGCAAAAGAACTTATTAGAACATCAATTGTATGATTTAATAATTTAGAATCATTTAATAATTCATTTTAAAATTTTAGGGTGGAAAGCAAAAATCAGGAGCTGGAATAAAGGGATTGCTTCTCTCTGAAGAAAATGCTAGCGTTCTTTCTTAAGGACTTTGCAAGATGAGAGGAGCTCCTCTTAAATTAGCTTAAGCATTAAGTATTCAAGAAGATGAAGTAATTCCTAAGCATGTTAGAGATGCTTTTGAAAAGGCAAGACAGTCCGCAGATATTATGCCAAAGAAATAGTTACATAAAGTAAAATAATAAATACAAAATGCTTTAAATTAATTAATATCTTTTTTCTTGCTATAAAGATGTTAGCATAAGAGTTAGGTGAAAATTGGAAAGATAACTTTTAATCCTTTGAAGAAATGCCTTTTGCAGCAGCATCAATAGGTAAAAATTAAATTGCTATTAAAATTTAGAGAAAAAAACCATTTAAATACTAAAATATTTTAATTATTTGTTTTAATAAAATTGAATAGGTTAGGTTCATAGAGCTGTACTTATAGATGGTACAAAGGTTGCTGTTAAAGTTTAATATCCAGGAGTGAAGGAGAGTATTGATAGCGATTTAAATAATTTAAGAAGACTTATGATATACACTGGAGTATTCCCTAAATAAATGTTCTTAGATAGATTGATTGATTATAGTAGAAAGGAATTACATGAGGAATGCAACTATACTTTAGAGGCAGAAAAGCAAATTAAAATGTATAATTTTTTAAAAGATGATGAAGATTTTACTATTCCTAGAATTATTGAAAATCTTTCTACTGAAAGAATTATGGTATCTGAGTTGATTGAAGGAGTAAATTTATTTTAAAATTTTATAAAATCTAAATTTAAAGAATTTTTTCATTCAAAAATAAATAGGACACAATTGATTACATAAGTGAAAATTATCCATAAGAATTAAGAGATGACATAGGAAGAAGATTGATGAAGGTTACTTTGAAGGAATTGTTCCTCTTCCAAACTATGTAAACAGATCCAAACCCTTCTAATTACTACTTTAATAGAAAGACAAATAAGCTTAATTTAATTGATTTTGGTGGAGTACATACTTACTCCTTAGAGTTCATGGATAAATATATCGATGTTATTTACTCAGCAACAATAAAAGTAAATTAATTAATTACTTTTAAAAAAATTTAATATGAAATAATTAGTTGAAATTAACTTAAAACTACTAAAGAGATTTATTTATAACTTTAAATTAATTTCAATTAAAATTAGGATAGACAAAGAGTTCTTGATATTTCAAGAGAATTAGGTTATTTGACTGGAGAAGAAAATCAAACTATGAAAACTGCTCATGTTGATAGTGTAATTACTGTAGGTGAGCCTTTTGCAACTACAGGTAAGTATGACTTTGGCTAATAAACTCTTACAACTAGAACTTATAAGCTTATGCCTTAAATGCTTAAGAATAGACTTTGTCCTCCTCCATAAGAAACTTACTCAATACACAGAAAATTATCAGGTAAATTTTAAATATTTTTTTATAGTTGAACAAAAGTTTTATTTTATCTTAACAGGAGCCTTTTTACTCAGCATGAAAATGAAATCAAATTATGACTGTAGATCAATATTTTTACCTCTTTACGAAGAATATAAATAAAAGCGTCAAGGAATAACTCGTACTTTCCTCTGAGAAAAATTAAAAAAATCTAATAAAAATAAATATAAATTAAATTTAAATTTTATTAAAAATTAATTTATTTATTTATGTGAATATATTTCAATTTGTATATATTTTTCTTCATTCTTAACTAAATTATAATTTTCGAAAAAATCTTTTTCAATTAAACCAAACTTATTTTGAAAAAAATTCATTTTTTTAATAGTTAATTTATTTCTAACTAAATAATAAATTATTTTAGAAAAAAAATATTTAAAATTTAATTAAAAAATGAATTTATTGTGTGGATTGATTTACTTCGACTTATAAATTTATTTTTTCAATATATATTTGGTAACAAAGCAAACAATAAATTTAGATAAATTCTTTAAAAATTAAATTAAAGTTTTATTAAATAATGAATTAAATTTATTTCAACTTGTCTATATAAACTTCAACTTCTAATTTATTTATTTATTTTATTTTTTAATATTTAATAAAAAAGTAAGCTTTAATTTTAGTTAGTTTGATTATATTTAATATCAAATAAATATATTTTAGAAGGATCGTATTTATCTAAAATTGGATAGATAAAATAAATAAATATATCTTGAATAAGGTATTTATTTATTTATATTTATTTAATTAATTACTTTGTTATATGTTAAAAATAAATATTTTATTTTTTATAAAAAATAAGAACTTAAACTATGTAATGAACAATATAAAAAGAATAAAAATAGTTTGAATGAGAGTTGAAATGACTGCCATTAAGTATTATGATGACAAAAATACATACAATAATGCAAGAAAACCACTGATAAAAAGATAGTTTTTAGTTTAGCAAAGAATAATAGCATTGAAAGATAATTAATTAATTATTTCAAAAATCTCACAAGTCAACGAGTTATCCATTTCTGACCTTGTGATAGTTTCCTAAAAATTAGATGTAATCTTTATATTCTTATTTTTTTCTTTCTTCTTCTGATAAATCTCCAAAAGTGGTGTAAGAACCAATACTTTCCTTTTCTTAAAAGAAGCTAGAGTTGTAGAAAGCATACTTAAGAGTACCTTAATTATTTTAAAGAAATTAGTTTAATTTATCAATTTCGTTTTATTTTAATAATATAAATTTTTTAAATAGAATTACCGAAGAGAATACCACCAACCATGCCATAAATATGGAATCCAGGGTTAACACAGACAGCAGTGGCAACTTAGAAGAAGAGAGCATTTGAAAGAACTTCAGCAAGCCACTTATTTGATCTGTTTTCCCAAACATTGTGTTAATATAAATAATAGACTGAACCCAAACCGAAACCAGTTAATGCATAGGGAGTCAATAAATCTTACATGATTCTATATTATAAATTTATTATTTTTATTTATTCAAGAAAGATAATATGTATAAATGACATTCATTCATTCATTTGTAATAAATTAATTATGAAATATTAAAGAATTGTTCTATTTATTCAAATTTTCAATATTCCCAAAATTCAATTGATGAATAAAATATTTTTTTCCATCATTCTATTAGATTTTTTTCTTCTATATTCTGCCAAGTATCTAAGATATTTTAAATAGCAAATCTGAATAGAGTTGAATTGAATTATATTTATTGCCTCATTTTAATTTTTGATTTAGACTTTCTTTTTAAACTTTAATTTAAAGTTAATCCAACACTTGTAATTCATTTTGCTATATTTTTATCTCATATTTAAAAACCTAAGTAAATACTCGCTAATTATTTCTAGAATTGACATTATCTTTAATTTCGCTATTTTCAAAATCTAATTTGACATATTATTCATAATTTCGAATCTTATTAAGCATAATATTTTGATTATTTTGTCAAAATTATGTATTAATCAGTTCTTATTTACCTAATGTGTCCAAAGTTATTATTACGGACAAAACGGAACATCTTTTTAAGGACAATTGAAGGAACTGTTTTACTAATTAAACCGAAACCAGAGGCATATGCAACACCCAAAAGAGCTCCCTTAAAACCAGCATAAAGAGTATTTCTAACTTCCCAGTGATGATCCCAGAGCATATCTCTACAGGCATAAACCTTAGTAAAAGTGCTATCATGCTTCTTTGGGTGAAGTGTGTGGGGGTCGTGCTAACTTGGGTATCCTAAAACACCAACGTAGTGACTATCTTCTTTGGCAGAGCTATTAAGTTCCATTTTCTTTATACTTACTTAGAAATTTTATTATTCCTATTTTCCTTTCAATATTTTATCTTAACTTTATATTTAATTAAATCAATTTGCTTTTGCTAAGTACAATCAATAGAAAACAATAAAGGGAATTAACTAATTCATTATTTAATTAACTAAAATACAAGCAATCAAGCAAGCAAAAAAACAAATAAACTAGCTATTTACCAAAGCAAATCGCAAATAAGAATAAAAAAGATTTCTTTCCTATTCGATACATACATAATAAACCTTTATTTTATAAATAATAAATATCATACATACAAAATTTCTATTCAATATTAATGTATATTTATTTAGTGTAAATATTTTTATATAAATTAAATGACAAATATTTTTGTTTATTGGTTTATTTGTTTGTTTGTTTGTTTTATGCACATCCATTTTGAAGTATTTATTTTTAATAATTAATTAGTTTTCCAAAGATATGTTTTATTCATTTTAGATATTTTTTCGATTATAAATTTATGATTTACTTTTATTGATAAATTTTTAAATTATTAATGAAATTATTTTATCTTTTTCTTTTAAATTAGCTTATAAATGCTTATAAAGAAATAATAAAATTAATTGATATCATTTTTTATTTAAAAGAATATATTGAAACATGAAATGTGATTAATTAATATTATATTTTAATTAATTTGAAAGTTATTTCATAAGTAATATTTAAGATTAATTATATAAAATGAAGCAGGGTTGATAAAAATATCTATTTTATCAAACAAACTTGATGAATTAACTATTCATATGAAAGACTATAAACGGAAATTATTATTTAAATTAAAAAAATCATTTAACTTCTTATAGATTTAAGACGGAATTTGGGAAAAGATCAAGCTCTTTTAAAGTCTCAGCACAATCTCTAGGGATGTTTTTCTTTGGATAATTAGTTGATAAGGTATAATTGAAATAGTCAGAGAAATCATCAAGTATTCTATAAACATCTCTTATTAATTTGTTTGCATCGATTGTTATATAAATGACTATATTTTATCCATTTTTTGTTGTTCTAATTTTAAGCTCTGAAATATTTTCTTTTTATTCTTAAGAGATGGTTTAGTTTTGTACAGATAAATACTCTTCAGTATGAACCTTTATCGAACCATCCTCCAATACATCATGTGCTATTTTTTTACGTTTTTTCCCTTCGTTGCCTTTTTAATTTTGTTACACTTAGACATTGCCTGTTTCTTCCAACTTTTTATTTTCTGCCTCTTCGATCTTTTACAATCCCAAGTCTTTAATTTCTTTTTTTATTTTTTGGAGTTCTAATGGTTTCTAAGCTCCATCTAGTTTTTTCTGAACTTCTGAACGTATTTCTATGATCTATCCATCCTTTATAACTTTATTTGGTAGCTTTTGCAAGAATTCATCCTTTGACATAGGTTTTAATTAATCTTCATCCATGTTATGAATGTTAGCCATTTTTTTGCCTAATTTTTCAGGATTATAATCTTCTTCAGCTTTATCTATTACTTTGAGAAGACACCCATTAGGATAGGTTTTTTTTAGTTAATAAGGGAAATATCCTTCTAAAATATCAGCAAGAATTTATTTAGACTCAGCTGAGCCGTATTTGAAGAATTTGAATCCTTTTATTGCTATGCCATCTTTGTAAAATCCAATAGGAACTGGATCCATTTTGCGTATTCTGTTGAAACCTCTTTCGTCTTTATATACTTCTTATGCATTACCTTCTTTTTCTACAATATAGTTTAATTCGTCTATCCTTCTCAAAACAACATTAAAATCTATTTCTGATGGCAAATGGTAATTATATTTAGGCTTCTTAACATCATTTAATAATTTATCTTTATCAAAATCGCCTTTCAAAACTTCATCACCATTCTCATCAAGAGTCCATTTTAATCCATAATCTGCTAAAAATTTCTCCATTGCATGAACTTTTTGTTGCAAACGTAAATTTTCTTATTTGATTTTTCTCAATTCTTCAGCAGATTTTTCAGAGTCTTTTGATTGCTTATAAATCTCTACTTCTGTTTTCAATCCCTCTATCTCCTTTGATTTCTCTTTTATTTCTTCTCTCTAATTTTTAACTAATTATTCAGCTTTTTGCAGTCTTGTAGCCATGCTTGACAATAAATCTTGATCTTATTAACTATTTAAAGAACCTCTAGAAGCTTATTACCCTAATCCTTTTTTAGGAGCTGAAGGAGGTGGAGGATTCGAACCATAAACCGGATGCAATTTCTTTTAAAATAAATTTTCAGGAGGACCTTCCATTTATAAATTTTTAATTAACCTCCTAGCTAAATCATCATCTAATTATGGGTTAGAACCACTGTTATTATTTGTACTTGTAGAAACATTTATACCACCACCTCCAACTAAATTCTTTGCAGCTTAATTTAAAATAGAAGAAGGCTTTTTCTCTAAATTATTGTTGTTATAATTTGACTAAGGTCTTGACCCATAATTTTGTTTTGGCATAATATTGGGAGTATTAGTCTCAACATTAGCTTTATTAGAAGGTTTGGGATTACTATTATTATTTTTAGAAGAAATGTGTCCTTAATCACCTTCGCTATTCCAGGTTTCTTTAATATCAAAATCTCCTTTGTAAAACATTTATGAAGCTTAAACTGCTTTATTTTTTTTAACTAAAATCTGATTACCTATGTAAAATATTAACAATACAAACAAAAAAACAAAAAATTGAAATTAATCTTTTAAATTTCTTGAAAGATTGATTAACTTTTTATAATAATCATTCAATGCAATTTATGAATGTAATGTATCAATTTTTAATTATAAAAACTTCATTTTTTGATACAAAAACAATATATTCTTGATTTTACACAGGCATTAGAATTGAATGAATATCAATATTCAATTAAATTCAAAGAGCCTATTCTCACACATAAATACATACATATATTCATACATACATACATACATATTTAATTTTCTATATGATTTCTAATTTAAATTTTATGTTAAAAAAGTTTTGATTAATTTAAAAAAAACTAAAACTTTTAAAAGATTTTATTTGATTTTTCAAATTAATTGTAATAATAATTTTTTATCCAAATTTGTTTTTATTAATAAAATTATTCAATGTATTTTTGTAGTTAACGTATTAAACTTAAATATATTTAATAAATTTATTTTTAGAGCTAATGAAAGTAAATATGTTATTTGATTAAAATTTATAAAAAGAATTTAATAGTCAAAATATTCCTTTGATTAAATTAACTATTTAGGAAATTAATTAATTATCATAGATAGATAACAATCTACGATATTATTTTTAATTGGCTTAAAGGTTTGGTTTGGCAAACAAAACAATGAATGAATTAATTAATTAATTAAAATTTTAATAATTGTTTAATTGAAAGAATAATATTCATAATTAATTACAATATTATTTTAAGAAAAAAGAAACAAAACAAAAATTAATTAATTAATATTGGAAATAACAGTCACTAATTAAATAATACAAACAAAATTCATTCATTTACAAAAGAAATAAATCAATTCAAATACTTTTAATACTGTATTTCTTCATATATATATAATGGACGATTATTGGTCTAGCTCAGATGTTTATAGCTACGAAAAGGAGTACTTCTATGAGACTAAAGTATATTTTTTGTAAATAAATTCAAACGCGCTTGAAACGAAATTATATGTCCGAAGGGGTTACATAGCCTCTATATAACTTGATTTCAAGAAGATTATAACACTATTTGAACCAGCTACTTTAATTCAAATAGCATTTATCATAACTTAATAATATTTATATCGAAAAGAGCTAAGAAGAAATTAACAAGTACACACTTTCTGAAGATTTGAGCACCATCTAGAGGACTAAAGAAATACTTTCCTTTGGTGACCTGGTGCAGAGACTAGCTATATACAAGAGTTTACCACTTTTAATCTAGGAGTCAGGAGTTGAAGAGAAACTTATGACTATGGTTGCAGTAAATAAACAAAAAATCAAGCACTAATAAATAGAAATACAAAACAAATTTTAATATAAAGAAATAGGTGGAGAGCCAGGAGGCATAAATTTAAGTAGAAGCAGGTCGCTCATTTCTCCGAATGATAGAAGAAAAGGTATGAATTAACTAATTACAACTTTAATCATAAACATAAAAATGAACTATATATATTAGAATTGAATTTATCAAATAATATATCCAACACAAAACTAATAAAGTAATCAATCAATCAATTAAATGCAAGATAGGGATTGATTATAATTGAATAATTAAAAAACATAATGTGCATATTTTTATTTTTGATAAATCTAATAAAATTTATCACTTTTTTTTAATTAATTAGTTGGGGAATATTCATAATCAATCATTAAATAGTTTGTTTTATTATTTTGTTTTAAGTTTAAATTGCAAATTTGAGTAGCAAATCAAATGAAATTTGGCTGAATTTAGAAATATAGCTGATACATAACGAATATTTTGTCTTATCTATAAATACTCTGATTTATTTCTAATTATTTTACATAAGAGATTTTCTTTAAATAAATAAATCATCAAATATCCTAAAATTAGCATTATTTTTTTATTTATTTTTATTTTTTTTTAATTAGAAATCTGAGAGCTTCAGGCAAATTGAATTCTTGAAAGATATTCTTTAATTAACCATGAATTTGTTGCATAATTCTAACATTCAAGTTGTCGATACATGGATTGAGGTGTTTTAAAAACTCCTTACAGAAATACCCTTTCCTGAAATTCAGAAAGAAGTTTTGGCAGAAATTTATGATTTAAGCAGCATTTGTTCTTCTACTACTAATAAATACTCCTCTATTAGGATGATAGCTTCTTCTATCTAAGTAAAAATTTATAGATAAAAATAGATTCGCTTTAAAATAGAAAAATATTTTGAATTGATAAAGTAATTTTTTTTTACTTATTAAACAAATAGTATCTTGGCAAAAATATATCTGATAATCTCTTGAATCTGATCAAGTTGTTCAGCCAATTCAATGACTTCCAAATAAAAAAATCCATAGTCTCTGAAATATGTCCTAAATTATTTTAGTTTCTAAAGTAATCTCAGCTCGATTACGACTGGCTTCCTTTGGTAATACTTTATTTGGTCTAAGCAATATTTTTTATTAATCGTACAAAGATAATATTTAAAAGTCATTCAGTAAATAAATTAATCTGCAAAAAATAATAAATTTAATTTACTCATTATAATAAGCTTAAATGAAAGAGTATATAACCAAACAAATACCAAGCACACATCCATTTAAGTTATGCAATTTTTATTCTTTCATTTTTAAAAATAGATTACTGAAATCATAAAAAACAACAACGAGAATAAAGAAATTAGGTGTTATGCCATCACAACTCTGTCTGAAACCCTAATTCACTTTTCTTCTGAAACTAAACTTGAGAAAATTATCCCAGTGCTAAATTATTTGATTTCTTTTGATTCCGACATCGATATTGTTCTAACAATCTGTAAAAAATTAGGTCCATTAATTTACCATGTAAAATTTCTTTTTATTTTAAAAATTTCCAGTAATAGAAAAGAAATAACTAAACTGTTTTTGTTTTTTAAGAATCATTTCAGCATTCGCTATTTTTAAAATAGTATTTTTTACAAAAACAATTTATTTTAAATATTTAAATTAATCAAAAAATTTGAAAAAAACTCAATTAATAATTTTGGAATTGATTTAATAATAATTTTTTATGCTTTAAAAAAAGCTTGAAAATGAATTAAATCAAAGAGACTCGAATCAAGCGTTAATTAAATACATATATGACTCAGTAGAAAGTAAAAATGAAGAAATAAGAGAGAACATAGTTTTTAACTATCCTTGTATCTTATAGTTGTTTGGGAAGAAATAGAAAGATAAGCTAATTAAGTTATATATTCATGCTTTGATGAAAGATGAAGAAATTAATGTTAGAATTTAAGCTGTTAAAATTATTCCAGAAGTAGTTAAGTTCTTAGGTGCTGAGGAGTCAAAGACCTTACTCAAACAACACATAAAGCAGATGCTTGGTGAAAAAGACAATAATGAGATAAGAATTGAGTTGGCAAAAAAATTGGGCTAAGTGTTAGAGTTTCTTTTCTAATAAGAAGTATTATTACAAAAATAATTGTTGCATCAATAACACCAAATCAGCCATTCTCATAATCATAATGGAAACAGTGTGAATCAACATCCTCAGTCAGCACCTTTGTCTACTTCAAATAATATCTAAATATTCTCACCAAACAATAACCAAAAGGGTGTTGGAGCAATCATGATCCAAGAAATTTTCACTGAAATCTTGAATTGCATAGAATAGAATACTAAATCACCTTGTTGGAGACTAGTTAAATCCTTATTAGAGATATTTTAATAAACAAATAGCACATTTAATTTCAGTATTATTTAAGATAAGTATGCCCCAATATTATTTAAATGCATACTAGAAAGTAATTTCGAACTAAAAAAGCTAGCTGCTAAAAACTTGGTTCTCTTGATAGCCTAATAAAAGTAGGTGCCTTAGAGAGAATACATTTTTAGCTAAATAAACAGCAAGCTATATGCTGGAAGATCTTATTAACTGAGAATGATTTACTTGGAGATTGTAGAAGAGTGTATCAATAAGTTCTCTAAATCATTCTTTAAACAATATAATCTTATACAAAGTCTTCAACTATATAACGACAAAGTGCCTAATGTGAGAAGAAAGTTAGCCACTTTGATATACAAGATAAGATGCAGTATTTTTAAAGAAGATGCTATTCATATAGATCAGTTTGATTCTTTAATAATTCACTTACTTCTTGACAACAATTAAGAAACTGCTAAAATAGCACAGTAATAACACTCAAACCTCAAAGACATTGATTCCTTTTAAAGCACCTAAGATGAGCAAGAAACTGATAAATTGGATGAAATTTAAGATTTTATTGAAGAAAATGAAGACGAAACGAGCATCAATAATCCATAAAAGAGTAATATTTTTTATTAATAAATATTTATTGAATTTATGAACTGAGCAAAATTTATAAAATCCATTTAATTTTGAATGTAATTTAAAATGTAAAGCTGAATGGAAAAATAAATGAGCTTGATTAAGTTATTTTTTTTAAATCTTAAGCTTAAAATTTATTTAAAAAAAATTAGACAATTCAAACTTTAACTTTAAAAATTCATTTATTTAAATATTTTAAAAAATAATTGATAAAATTATAAAATATATAAAAATATATATTATTATAACACAATAGATTATAGATCGTTTGACACAATTGACAAGAATCCTTATTCAATCTCTTAAATACCTTCAGGCCTGCTTTCAGGAGGCGCTATCATTAAAAAAGTAAAATTATTTATTTGTATTATTTAAAAAACCAGTTAAATAAATTAAGTAAAAATTATAATTTTCATTTAATAAAGATTAATTATTAAAAATTTAACCATTAATTTTTATTAATTAAAAGAAAAATATAAACGTTAAGAAAATCCCTTCTGTAGGAAATACAAAAAGTTTTAGTACTCCAAAAAATACTTCTTTGACTTCTATCAGCTCCAACACTACCAACAAAGGGAATATAAAAAATTCAACTATAACTTCTTCTTTGATATTTAAATAAAATGGAGATTCAAAGAAGAATCGTAGAAATAGTTCAAATAGTAATGACACAATATCATCTTCAATCAATGAAAAGGTTCCTACTGCTCATTCATTATTAGTTTAAAAACCAAATGCGTCACTGACTTAAATATCTGGATAGTAATCTTCTGGTTCTCTCTTATTAAGAAATAAGTAAAATCTATCGCCAATCATCGCTGCTTCGTCAAATAACTAACAATAAAACTATAGTATATAATCGAAAGTGCTTTCTTAAAATACAGATTACATGAACAGCAATATACAAAGAGATATATTTTCAGATTAAAATGAAACTTCTCGTTCAGTAAAAGAAAGAAATAGTGCAAGCTTAAATAAATATAGCTCACTAAAACCTATTTAAAAAAATATAAATAAGATTACGCCATTCAATCCTTCTACAACTCCTCAATAAAATGCTCTTAACTAATCTTCATAAGTTTCAGTTAACATTATAAGCAATCTCTCTATTGAAAAGAGAGCCAATTTTGAACGAAAGAGTACCTTTGAAAATAATCCAAATGTCTAAGTTATTTCAAACAACCTTTATAGAATTAAAAAGTAAACTACTTTCCAGCCTTCAAGTTTACCCCCAAAGTTTGCTCTCAAGAAAAAACCTTTATGAAATTTAAAAAAAATGGCTTTAAAAAACAATAGTTAAAAAATTGAAAGTAGTTAGGCAGTCAATTATCATAAATTGATGAATCTGTCTAACTAAATAATATTCTCCTACCTACTATGAATAAATAATATAACCTATAAATTATAGAACACGAAATAAAAGAAATATTACAATAAAACTTACTATTCAATTTCTAAAATTATAATAAATAACATTTTAAACTTCTTTTATTCTTTCTTATAAATAAATTACACTAAACAAAATTAAAATAAAAATAGACCTCGCTTTCATTTCTATCACTAAAACAAACAAAATTAAATATTTTCAATATCTTATTTTAAGAAATTTGTAAATATTTTTCTGTTTTTGTATAGGTTTTTATTTTACTTCTTCAATTACCAACAAAGCTTTTTTTATTATTAAAATTGTATCATAACTTTTGTAAATAAATAAATATATTTATTTCTTTATTGATCTAATTATTTGTACAATTTTAAGCATTATTCTAACAAAATTAATTAATAAATAAATAAAGTAAATTTATTTCTACTTTTACATTACTCTGAAATAATTTGTTTTTTATCTACTTGTTCGTTTTCAATAAGAAAATTTATTTCCAAACAAATTCTAAATATAAAAAATGAATAAATTAGATTTATTTTTTAATTAAAATTCTTTCTTTTTTAATTTTGAGCACAAAATTATTGTGAGCTGTAAGAAATCTGAAAAATCTAGACGAGTTAGTTACCTTTTAATATTTAAAACAAAAATTAATTTAATTTGTTAGATTTAAATTAAATTAAAGAAATATGTTTTATTAAAATTATGAGTTACAAAGATATTTTTTTTTAAATTTATTAATTTATTCACTCATTGATTTATTAAGTTTTTGATGTGAAAAATAATAAATAAATAAAATAAAAATATGTAATTAATTAATTAAGGTTGATTAAAAAATAAATTTATAATAGATATTAATTATAACACATAAGTTTATTTATTTATACAATTAAATTATTATGGTTAGTTAATATAGTTATTTATTTTTTGCTATATTGATGGATTGAGTGATTGATTAATTCATATCTTGAATATAGTAAAACAATTAATTATTTAGTCTGATTAAATTTATATAGTATTTAAATTATATATGATATCTTAAATAATAAATCATCTTCATTATCAAAATTTCAAATTTTGTTTGTATGCTAAGTAAGTAACTTCAAAATATTTCTTTTTTCACCAGTCTTCGTCATCAAGAGTTCTTCTCTTGAACTATTTAATAAAAAAATAAATAATTATTTAATATTTAGCTAGAGTTAAGATATTTGTGAAAATATTTCAAATTCTATTTCTTACAGAAACCTTAGTTTCTTGAGCTTAAGTAGTTGAGGTTTCAACCATCTTCAAGAATTCAGCTTCTGAGATTTTATTTGTAATTCTACCCATTTTAGCACCCTATAATTTTAATAATTAAAGTTAAAATTGTCAATCATTTTATTTTTAATAAAGTTAATTTCCTACTTGTAACAATGTAGCAATAATTTATTATGCCTTTTCTGGTTTGACAAGCTTGATGTTATTGACTAAGTTATTAAGAATAAATTATATTATGCCCTGCTTAAGAGTTAATCGAATAATTTGAGTTACGTCTAGATCTGGCTTCGTCAGAGAGAATAGCCTTCAATACACTTTCAACCATTTCTTCTTATTATCTAATAAATAAATTAAATAGTTAATTTGGTTGATAAATGAATGAATGCAATTGATTGAATTATAATGAAGTGTTTCTGTTTTAAAATATTACTATCTTTGTTCTTCTTGCTATTAAAGCTTTTGAAGAGTAGCCTAGTCCTATTAAATTTATTTAAAATAAAGGTCTTAGTTTTTTATTTTAAATCTATTTCAATTTAAACAAAAGTTTTTTTGAATAGTTTATTTACCATTTGTTGAGCCATTTTTCTAAATTTTTTTTTTTTTATTACTATTTGTGAAATTCAGCAATTTTTAATTTTTTTAATTATTTTTCAATTTTTTTAGATTCGCAATTTAAAATTAATATATAAATTAAATTAGTAGGTATGTATTAATGAATGAATGAATGAATGAATGTATCTTAGCATCCCAAATTTCATTGGATTTAAAATCTATTAGAATAGATATAGAAAAAAAGTAAATTTTTAGAAAAGTCAAATTTTCTTAAAAGATTATTTCAAGCAAGCACAAAGCACTACACAAATCTTAACAAAAATATTCTGGGACAAAGCACATATTTTAAAAACACCAATTATAGAGCTAGATATTTTATTTTGAATATATTTCTAATTTATAGATACAAATAAATATAAAAAACAGTAATAAATTATTAAATAAACAAATAAATTTTTATGATTTTTTGCAAATTTCTATTATTAAACACAGTAAATTATTTTTCATTTCGAAAAATTTGTTTTTCTGTTATGTTAAATGAGTCACATCTCTGAAAGTAGTGCAATATCTTTTTCTATCTCGCTTAAAGAGAAACTAGTTTTGGGTCCTACTTCGCCATGGGAAAAAGAGTGTTTTCTTCTAGCAGTTTTATTTTCTTCCTAATTTAATTAATGACCCAATAAATTTTTGTTACTTAAGCTATGAGATAGACTAATAAATAAATAAATAAAAATTACGACAGCTATCAATATATCGTTTCCGCTAAATGAGAATCTTAAAATTTTGCCAACATTAACCTTTTTGAAGAACTTTGATATTTCTATTTATTGTTTTATGAAAATATGTGCCATAAACAAATTTATAGAATATAAAAAAATTACTTGAATTAAAGCATGCCAATAAGTAGGAAACAGGCATTGGCCTAGTTTCTAAGTTGAAGATAGCCATATCGTTTCTTGTTGATTTTAAAAAATTCCAATTCAGAGAAAATAAATATTAAACTTGATTAAAAATAATGTAAATAAAAAATGTAAAAAATTTACAGATCTTTGCACTGAGAAAGAGTAACTTGACAAAATTTAGGAAAGAGGTCTTTATTTGTAAAATATTGCAACAAAATGAAAGCTGGGAAAGTGTTAAGCATATGTACAGTGGTGTTTAAAGATACCTAAAATATTTTTTTATTTAATAAGTAAGAATGGAAAGTTATTATTTAAACTAATTCTAATAGGATATTTATATAGATTTATATATTTATTCCTAATAGATTTTTTCTAAAATCCAAAATTAGTGTTGAGTTTATTTAAAATAGATAATTAAATTAATTATCGAAAATTTAGAGAAAATCAATCTACTCTAATTCAGAATCCCCTAATTTCAAAATCTTTACAAATATTTTTCTAACAATTTTAATAAATCGATGGCATTTTATTGAAATTAATTACTTTTGTTATGTAAACTACAAGGACTATAAGTAGATAAGCGAAATAATACATAGCGATAGTGGGAAACATTGAAACTAGGAAGAAGAAAAATATCATAGATAACACTTTGTGATCCCAACTCACTTCATAATTTGAGTTTTTTAATACCTTCCCTTTCATTACTCCATAGAGCATTTTAATTAAGGCCATTACTTCTCTATATAGCATCATTAACATTCTATAGATTATATACCTTCAATATTTTTATTAAAAATACTTATTGCATAATCATCAAAGATAAATTAGTAAATAAATTATTAATTAGCATAATAAAATTAATTTTATGTAATTTATTACACATGCAAAGTTAGAATATTTATAATGTCATTCACAATGCAGAGTTCAAAAGATATCCCAAAGAAACCAAAGAAGGCAATTAATCTCATTAAGTAAGGTTCAAATGGTGTTGCAAAAGTTGTAAAGTTATTCCTTGAATAAAATTTAAAAAAATCTAATTTAACTAAAAAAAACCATTTTTAATGAAATGAAAAAAGTTATTATTTATTTTTTGATTCTAAACAAATTTAGTTTAGCTTTAAAAAATAACTTCAGATGACTATTTAACAATTTATAAAAAATATTTTGTATTTAATAGAATAAGTTAAAATCTCTTTAATTTACCAAAATATAAAAAGATTTGAAATTAAGAATCCCATTATTTTGTTTAAGTTTTTATTTGTTTTCAATCCTGCAGGATCACTCATAAGCCACTCAACTTCTTTGGATAGAGCATCAATATGAATACCACTAAAATATTGATGAATAAAGCCCAAAATTTTAGTTACGTTAAATGCAATAAAAAGGATGCTAAAGAGACCTAAAATTGTATCAATAGCTATGTAAGTTAAGCCAGATAATAGACGTAAATAAATTTTTAAAATGAATGAGTATTTCAAACTTTAGTGCTTATGTTTTAATATTCCTAATAGTATTGGCCAACTCTACATAACTTCTATTTTAAACTTTACTTGATTAAAGACATTTCTACCCACTTTCATATCAACTAACGATTTTTCTATAAACGGCAACTTATAGCTAAGCAAATTATATACTAAACTATAAAAAAGTTTTTGAACTGAGCTGCACCAAACCAAGATTTAGATAAAAAAGAGCATATTTTTACCAGGTTTCAACCACTTCTTATACACGTTTTCTTTACTGCTTAAATCAGTTTGTTCTTCTAAAAAATAAAAATTTATTTTATTATGAATAAAATAAGACTAAGATAAAAAATAATTAATTATAAGTTTAATTATTATCTCAATTTTCATATTAAAATAAATTAATTTTTTTATTGTTTTTAAATAAATTGCTAAGCCAGAGAAAAAGCAAATAGTTTTAATTAATAAATAAATGACAAAATGAATTTATTTATTTTAAAAATTTGTATACAACTTGATATTAAATTATTTACCTTAATTAGACTATTAAGATGTTTGATCTTGTTATTCGTTTTATTCTGCTGCATTAGTTACTTTTAATTCCTCTTAGTATATTTAATTGATCATATTACTGAAATTTATTTGCTTGATGGTGTATTCTAGTTCAGGCAGGTTCTAATGGTATTTGTTATTAAAAATATCTTATTTAATAGCCTCCATTTAGCAAATGTTGACATCAAAATCACTAACATCTATGTGTTTCTTAAAGTATTCCTAAAGTTAGCTATCGTTATCTTGCTTATTTCTTTGATCATAATAACTTTCTATGAATTAATGTGGAATATCAAAACTCGAATATGCATTCTTTACTTTGTTTGGATTAATCGATAATAAGCTATTTTGTTATATTTTATCATAGAATATCACTTATGACTTTGTCTTATATTTATATCCAAAACATAATAAAGTCTTTATCTTATACTTATCACCTAATTTCCTATTTTCTTAAATTTTATAATTTTAAAAAACATCAGATCGCTTGCTTAATTTATTCATACTAGAGTATTCAATATCTATCCATAGATCATATGTCTCCATTTATTATTTACAATACTCTGTGATTTCATCACCTTCTTCAAATATTCGCCCTAAAATCACCATTTTGCACTATTAATTGATAATAAATGCAAATAATATAAAACAAGCAATTCTTATTTGATTAAATTGAAATACTTACTCCACAATAGCCTATCAAATTAGACAAGGTCTTTGAACCATTAAGTACATTTTCTAATTTTTTGAGCTTTTTATTTATTAAATCAATAATATTTGTTTTTTATATATTTATAAAAAATATCATAATACATCTGAGTTCTCCTCTACGAATATAACTGTGGTCTAAAAACCTGAAATATTGAATCCTTTTAAAAATAAAAAGCATTTATTAATAGCTTGTTTTACAAATTTCTCTTATACCTACTAAATATCCTTTCTTATTAACCTAAGACTTAGGAAAAAATATCTAAACTGTTTCAGAAGAAGCCATTCAAAACAAACAAAGTAGAGTATTTGTTAATTTAATTTTCTCTTATTGATATTCTTTCAAAACTAAAATCAATCTAAACCAAATTCTTCAGAAGCTTTAATCGATAGATAAATAAATAAATAAGCAATCATAAAATTGCATATTATTTAATTTTTAAAATTAAAAAAAATGATTTATGTTTAAATAAAAAATTAAACAAATAATTTTAGTTAAGCTTTTATTAATTATAAATAATGATGTGTCAAGTAAAATAATTTTTAGTTGAAATGATATTATAAAATAAAACTTGAGCTGCTAAATCTGTTTTTAGAAATTTAATTTTTATTATTTATGAAGAAAGATATATATTTTTAATATGAAAGATAAATTACTGGAATTGCTTGATTGATTATTTATTTATTTACTATTTGCAACAATAAATTGAATAACAAAAAATAGAATAGTAGAAATATTTAAAAAGAGATATTTTATTAACACCTATTTTGAATAATTTATTAATTAATTGAAATTTATTGTATAAGATACTTCATTCTAATTCAATTTTTTTAAATCAAGAAGAAATAATTAATTTAAACCATTCTTTCTTTCTTAGTGTTGACGTTAAATTTAATACTGAAGAGTTTATAATATGAATTAGGATTAAGCAGACCATATTCCTGTTAAGGAAGGATCCAATCTAGCAAATGATAATCAAGACTAAAGTATAAATAAATAAATACACTGATTAAAAAGATTTATCAATATTGATGAAAATAAATTATAAAAGATAAATAGCCTCAAAGAGTGTCGAAAATATAATAAGCCTTGAGTAGTTTTAGATCAGGTGTTGAGTAAATATACTCTGAAAGCAGAGAGCGCTCTTTGGGAAGATTAAAAGAGAGCGAAGATGAAATGCAGCGCAAATTCAGCATCTAAAAAGTAATAAATAACGATGTTGGAGAGCTGTAAAATATAGGATAAGATAATTTAACAAGGTTTTTAAGTGATGAGCATAATGAAATTTTAACAGAAGCTTAAAAGCTAGATTGCTATGTTATAAGAGAGCAAATTAAATCTAGTAAAAACAGAGAGGAAGAAGAAGAACGTATTTACAGACAGTAAATAGAAAAGCTACATAAAAAAAATTAAGAATTGGAAGAGCAAATTTAACAAAAAAAAAGACAATAGCGCATAAATTCAAAAAATTCATCTTTGGTAACAACTCACTTTTGAAATTAATTACTATTCTTTCTAATAAAAAATGGTTTTAATTTATATTTCAGAATATTAAAACAAAAAAAATATAAATAAATAAATAAATACATTTTTTATTGTAAAAATAAATAAATAAATCTTATGGTTATAATTTTGATAAGTTTCATCTATCAAATAAATAAATGTTATTCATTCTTTTGAAATATTAAAAAAAACCAACGAATTTTCAATATATTAAAAATTTGAACGATTTATTAAGTAAATTGCATTTATAATTTTAAATTTTGCATTTATAAAAGCTTCAAATTTTTTGTAATAATAGTAATAATTTATTTATAAAAATAGAATTCATTCGTTAAGTCGTCTATTGATGTAGTCCCTAAAAATTTTATTCCAACTGCTTTACCATTTCCTTCTATTGAATAGAAAATGCAGTAGTTTGATATATCAGTTTATAATAACCCATTATAGGGATATTAAGATCAAGTGGTGAATACTAACTAATTTTAAGGTTAATAATAAGATATTAAATAAGCTAAGAATTAAAAGGGAAAAACCTAGCAACTTGACTTTAAACCAATATAAACATAGATAGATAATATTCCTGTTTATGCAGCAGGGTATGAGCAAGAGCAACAAGATATATAGGTTGTGTATGAAGGAGAGAAAAGAGATTTGAATAAATGTTTAAGGAAATTTGCTAAAAAGATATTTTATTTGCAAAGAATGGTATAAGATTTGACTGCTGAAAGAGATAAGTGGAAGACTTAGTTTGAAGGTGTTGATAGTTAATACAGAGAATATAGATTAAAATACGAAGAAGTTATTGAGCATAATAAGCTTTAAGAAAAGTAAATGAGTGAAAATAAAGTAAACCTTGAAAAATATAAAACTATGGCTGTTGCATTAGAAGAAGAAGTTAACAAGCTTAGATTATACAACCATGGCTCAGGAGACCCAGAAGTCTAAATTGTAGAAAAACTGATTGAAAAACCGTAAAAAAATAATTATTAAACACTTTATAATTTGAATTCTTTTATATATCAGAATAGAAATAGTCAAGCATGTAGTTTTAGAGAAAATTGTTGAAAAGGTAATTTCATTTATATCAAATTTAATCTAATTTGCTCAAATATTTATTTTATCTTTAAAGCCCATTGAAATTATAAGAACAATTGAAGCACCTCCAATTGAAATAGAGAAAATTGTCGAGAAAATAGTTGAAGTTCCTGTAGAAAGAATTGTTGAAAAAGTAGTTCAAGTTCCTTTTGAAACAGTATTATTTATTTATTTATATCGTTATTTATCTATTTACTTACTTACTTACTTTTATTTTGTTAAATTGAGATTATTCTTATAATAAAATAAAATGAAATTTAATATTAAAAATTGTTTGATTATTTTATTAGATAGTTGAAAAAATTATTGAAGTTCCAAAGATAGAAATTGTGGAAAAAGAAAAAATTATAGAAGTACCTCGCCCAGAGTATATTGAGAAGCTCGTCCATGTCGAAAAGCCTGTCTATATCGATAGACCTTAGATTGTTAAAGAAGTTATCGAAACAAAAGATCACGGATTAGAAAGAGAGCTCATGATGGTCAGAGAAGATTACCACAAGTTGTAAATGATACAGGAGAATTAATTCAAAGAATTGGAAGATTGGAAACTTAAGTGTATCCGTTTAGAAGACCAATTCCGTACAAATGAAGCTGACAAATCTGTTATGATTGAAAGAGACAGGAGTGTGTTAATGGATGAGATTAAAAATAGTCACTAAACCATAGATAATTTAAGAGACAGGATAGAAATGCTTTATAAAGAAATTTCTATGCTAACAGATAACAACAACAGAAAAAACATAGAAATGTCTAATTAAATTAGATTCTTAGAAGAGCAGCTAGCAATAAGCGCTCCAAGAATAATATCTACTACTTCTTATTAAGGATTACCAGCTTATCAACCTGTACCTCCACCTATAGTAGAGAATACAACTGCATATTACAAAACAACTGCTCCTGCCTATCCTAATAATGGCTATTCTTCATTGCAATAACCCATTTCAAACCCTCAATTTAACAACTCTTAATCTTACTAACAAACATTCCAGCAAACAAATAATTAAGAAAATTTACCTTACAGCAACTCTAGATACTAGTTGTGATTTATTTATTTGATCCTTTATAAATTAATTAATTGTAAATATAGCATTCATTTTTGTAAGTTATTTAGTAAAAAGTTTCTGTTTTAAATTTAATTTTAAAATTCTTGGTTTAAAAATTTCAGCAAAACATATAATTTTGTAACATAAAAATTTTTGAATTTATTTATGACATATTAATTTATTTTTTAATATTTAAATAAATTATTAGATTCTAGCTTAATTTAAATTAAAATATAATATAAATTTATTTGCTTTTAACCAAAGTAAACTAATTAATTATTGTTCAATAAATAAGGTTTCATACATAAAACTTAGTTCGAAAATATTTTTTAAAAACAAGCTAAATAAATTCAATAAATTTTCTTATTATTAACTATAAAATTATAATTTTTATTTCAATTTTTTTTAAATTAAATGTTTTCATAATTAATTTCTAAATCTCATTTTTAATAGATTTAAAAATAATTATTTTTTTAATATTTAAATAGCTGTTAGAATCAAATTAGATTGTTTGAAATTCACTTTTATATTAAAAAACTTCTCAAATATGAAACAAATAAATTAACTGTTTGAACAAGATATTAAGTTTTTTTTAATTTTCTAATTGTTATAAAACCTAGTAAATCTAAAATAATATTCATTTATTTCTATTAGAAATAAATTCTTTTTACATTTTAAAATTAAATAATTAGCAAAATAAATATAATTTATTAAATTATTAATTTATTATTTTTGAATCAATTTAATTTTATTTATTATAAAATTTTTTTATTTTTATTATTTTAAAAAAATAATTTATTCAATTTTTGTTTGTAATTATAAAAAGATTTTAACTTTAAACTTATTTTTCTATTTTATTTTAATATTTATATCAAAAAATATTTATTGTTTTTGCGATTAAAATATTTTTTAAAAGATTACATTTAGTTTGCTTTAAAATTGGAATGTATTTATTTATTTATTTAGAAGTTTTTTAAAGTTATATTATTTCAGTTTAATAAATAAATAAAATAGTAAATATATTTAACAATTTAATTAGACATGAGTTTTTCAAATTCAAATCAAATAATTTTGTTATTTTTAACAAATTTTCAAAATTTAAGTTTTTTTGGAAGGAATTTGTTTGCAATAAATATTATGAATGTTTGTATGTATGTATTTATGAATTTAATTAGATTAATATTTGAATACTTGTTTCAATCAATTTGACTATTATAATAATATTCAGTCACTTTTTAGATAGAAAGATGGATAAATAGATCCAAATTATATTAAATTTATTTCGAAAATCTAGTAAATAAATTAATAAATAAAAAAAAACAAGATTGGATTTGCATAAGATATTTAACAAAAAATAAAGAAAGAAATAAATAAATAGTGAATTGATTATAGGATAGCCTGATTCAATTAACACTCCAGAAAGTAGAAAAAATTAAAAAATCCTTAAATATATCAAGAAAAATAATTTAGCAGTAATATTTATCAATCAATCAAACATAAAATATAGCTGGCAAAAAAATATTTATAAATAATTTTGATGAGTTTACAAATACCTTAACAATAGTTTAACTCTCTTTCATCAAAAGCGCTTAATTCTATTTCAAATAACAATGATAATCTAAGCTCGACTGAAAGGTAAAGATTGCTTATTTATACCTTAAAAATCATTTATTTATTTATTTATTTTCTTTTTTTTGATTTGATTTTTTGATAGGTTGAATACTAGTAGTAATTAGAACCAATAGAAGCAACAAGCTCTTCTCTTTACTCCAAATAGCTAAAATACTTAAAAATCTATGACTCCATAGCCTCATTTGTAGCAATAATTCCAGTAAGTAGGACTAGTTTCTCCAAATATTTACACTAATAGCTCTTCATTATAGAATAATAATGCAAATATAAATACTTCAAATATGAGGTTTTAGAAAAACTTAAATAGTTTGGCATTTAACAATCACAATGACATAAAGAATTAATAAACTTAGCTAATAGTACATCATTAAAATAACAGCAGCAATAATAGTGAGTCACTATGTTCAGATCTGAGAAGCTTTTTTCAGGACAACATTAGTGGAATAAATAGTTAATTTACAGGAACTCTTTCTGTAAATAAAAACAATAATAACAATTATTCTAGCATAATTCAAGGAAGCAAAAATGGTAGTATGAATAGTAATTAGCATCGCATTTAAGTAATGACTCCTTCTACTAATGATGATAAATCGATACTTTCTTAAAATAATCACTTCATAAGCACTAACCCTAAATAAGTAGATTTAAGCTCTTCTTCTTAATCCCATCATAATTAGCACTTGCTTCATTCTCAAGTTCATAGCAAAAATGTCTCTCAAACAACACAAATGTCTGTATTTAACAACAGCGGCGAAATATCATAATTCAACTACTCTTCTCTAGGAAATAACTAAAACTTTCAATCATAGAATTAAATGAGCAACATAAGTTCTGTAATTAATAACATAAACTTTGAAAATGATACTCTTTCATCATCATAATAGTAAAATACTTCCATATCAAATATTAGCAATACATTATAAGAAGCTAAATGCAGATTCCATCCTTATAAAAAGGTATTTATTTGTAGAATTAAATATAATAACCTAAATAAAATTTAAAAAAATAAAGGTGAAGTATTAAATGAGCTAAAATGAAAATGAGAAATTCTGCACTGCTTGCGCGTTAGAATACGCAAAATAAGGATTGGATGTAGAACCTATTATTAAGACTTAATGTAATTAAATTTTAATTTACAAATTTGAAAAATTAAATCTTTAACTGAGAGGGAATTTGTTAAATTTATATTTATCTGCAAATAAATCTTCAATCAATCAATTAATTAATTAAAAGAAATAAATCAAAATAGATTTTTTATTTCTTCATATTTTTAATTTTTTTAATTCAATTATAATAATAGAAAAAGAGATTAACTTATACATGAATGAAATGCTTAATGTCAAAAATATTAATGACATGCTTATGAATTCTTTGGACTCCAAGCAAGAATTTATAAAAGAGCACAGTCGAAAACAGTCTCAAATAGTCCAAGATTTATTTCTACAAATTGAAAAATTGATCTATGAACAAAAAACACAGCTACTGAGTTAAATAAATAACAAAATGTGGGAGCAAATAAATTTAATTGAACTGAAGAAAAACGACTCTAGGCTTTTCGAATAAAAGCTACTTCTCAAGCAATAAGATATTGAAAAAAACTATCAATAAATCACTACTGCTATGGGCGTTTCTGAAGTGAGAGAAATTCTCTTTTTCTACAATTCAGAACTGGACCAAATAAAAACTAGCATAAGCGACATGTTTAAAAACACTTCTTTTGATTTAATTAATCTTAACTAAAATTAAATAGCCTAGCAAATTTAGATTCTCTAAAAATTTCTCCAAGAGGAAGTTTTCAAGCCCACAATAACTCAATCAACTCTTTAAGAAAGCATTAATTTATTGTCTAACAAAAGCAATTCTCCATCAAGTAAAAATTAATTAATTGTGTTTTATTATAAAAAATATTTTCTTAATTAGATATTTTATTAATAAAATTAAAATATTCCTTCATAATAAAATAGAAAATGATAAAAATTAATTGTCTCGTTTCATGAGTAACTAAGATAAAAAGGGATCTGGTAAAAAGCAGTAATATCAATAACAATAAATATAAAATAAAACACTAGCTTAACAGCTTTAAAATTATCACATTGAACAATCTTAATTACAACCTAATGTATAGAAAGTAATTGAATTAAATTGTGCTATGAATAAATAAAATACATAATCATAAAATTTGTAAAAATAAAATTATCAATAAAATGAATAAATGAACTTTAATCAATAAAAAGAACAGTAATAAATGTTTGCAACACAGTTATAATAAAAGCAACTCTAATAACAATAATAGTAGTAATAGTAATACAATGAAATAGTAGATACTTCTATCAGCGAAAAACAACACACGTAAGAAAGCGATGACTTATCATCTGCATAAGGAATATACTTGAATATTTAGAACCAAAGCAAAATTTCTAATAAAAGTAACATAAGCTCTCATAAAATAATAAATTATTCAGACATACATGATGAATAAAACTTGAATATTTTAAAGGATTCCTCTTCTCCTTCAACCTCAGCCAAATAAATCGTTAGAGATTCAAAGGCTACTCCAGTAACTCAAGAAAAGAAACCATTCTTCCCTTTCTAAGTAAGATTACACTACTATTTTAATTTATTAATAAATTTTTATTTAAAAAAAGTGCTTAAGTCCTCAGCAAACTTCAAAGGGAGAAGGAACTTTAAGATAATAATACTCTATTAGCAAAGATAATTAGCTCAATTAAAGACAGAAACAGTTTATTCAAACAGAACCAACTCACCTACCTTCTAATAAAACTAAATAAGGAATCTCTAAGCCAGGCAATTATTAGAGAAATTTGTTAATGAATGATGAAATAGCTACTTCAAACAACAGATTTAAGTTTAATTAAAATCCCACCAATAACTTCAGTCTCCTCACTCATTTCAATAAGTAAACAAACTCGAATATTTAAAATTTAGTTGCAGTTCCTCAAATTAACAATAAACAATAAGAGTAAGCCTAAAATTTTACCAATTAATCTAAACTAAATGCAATTAACAACATCCGCTAGCTCCAAATAAATTTAGTTGACTAGGATAGTAATTAAAAATCACTGACCTCAAGACCTATAATTATGAATCAAATCAACAATAACCAGTAATTTGCAAATAGCTAAAATCAGTAACCAAATTTTGTGGCTTAATTGATTTAGTAAAAGCAATAATAGAATACTTTAAAGAATACACCAAATTATTAATAATTACAAAACAATGATTATAACAGCATGTCTTCATTAAAAAATTGAAATATATTTACTAACTAACTAACTAATATAATTTTATATTAAGTGTTATTAACAAACAATATATACAGTCAGTCATTCAGTTTATTTGTTAGAGTTTATTTTCAACCAATAAAAATCATTTCTTGCTCTATTCATGTTCTTTAAATTATTTTAATCAAATTTCTCTTAATTAATTCAAATCATAAATTTTATTTATTATGTAAAAACTTGTAAAAGAAAGAATATTTAAACTTTCACAATAATATTTCCTATTTTTGAAAATAAATTTAAAAAGTGTTTAATATAATATATGTTATTTTATAAGATATTCTGCTCTATACTGTATGCTCTAGTCTAAATCATTAATATACTCATCATTTATTAATTAAGTTCGTACAAAATTTAAAAATTTTTATTATTTTAAATTTATTATGAATTTATGTTATTTTTTTAGAATATTAATTATGTAAAAATAAAAAACAAATAAAAATCTTTAAATTTAAAAAATGTAATATCAAATGTTTTGTATAAAATCAATCTAATATGCTAAATAAAACAATTATTTATTCTCTTTAATTATCTTCAAGTACTAACAAAAAATATTTTTAAAACTAATTAATAATTTAAGGTCATCTTTTTTTATACTTATGATGAAATTTAATATTAAAAATTACTAAATTAAATATTAGAAATATTATAGTTATGTAGTGATAATATAAATTTTATTAAATTAATTCTATTTGCATTGAACTTTTTTTATTTATGCTGAAATTATATTTTTATTAATCAAGAAAAAGATATTCAAAAATAATATTTTAACAAATAAATTTTGTTTGATAGATAAATAAATAAATAAATGAGTGATTCTTAATAAACACAAAATATTAATTGTTATAAAAAATAATCTATGAGTGGAATAAATAGTAGCAAATTAGTAAAAATTCTATCAAAAATAAATTAATGAGTGAATGGATATTGGATAAAAGAATAAGTATTAATTAAATTTTGATAAATAAAATTTATACCAATCGTTTATTAGCTAAGATCAATTAATTGTGAGTGGTTTAATATCAATTAAAATAGTAACTTAGAATCATATTAACAAATAAATATCTTGCAAAAATTATTAGATTTCCTAAATTATAAAGTCTATTTATTTAACTAAAACATTTAGTATAATATAACGAAAATCATTTTTGAATTTAAATCGAATAAAATGAAAAAATAAGTTAGATCTATTTCCACGTATGAAAAAAGTCCTTGCGCTAATGATTAAAGCTTTTAAAATTCTCCAGATAAATGCTAAATGAGTTATTATTAAACTATAAAGCATGACGAGCAGCTAGATAAGCTTGAAAAGAATTTGATTGATGAGTTAAAGAAGACTATGTTCAACTCTCCTTAAAAAGATGTGATGAAGAATAGAATGAAACACTCTTCATCAACATATTAGGAAAGTGGAGAAAAGTAAAATTATAATAGCATAAATAGCAACTATCCCTAAGAAAGAAAAGAGAAATTAATGCAATGTGCAGAAGGTATCTTTTAAGGAAGACTCAACGAATTAAACGAGTTCAATTAAGACTATTATGATCATATTGCAGGCAAGTGTGTTTGTGCCAGATGCACATGCGGTAAACATAAGTGCAACTAAATGGGTATTAAGTATGATACAAAAAATCAACCAAATACAGTGTACATGGATACTTACAATGCAAAAGATTTATCAAAAGCAAAGCCAGCATAAAGTGCATGTCCTTGTGATAACATTAGCATACCAAAAGATTTAAAATTTGAAAACCACACAACTCATAGAGATCACTTTACCCCAAAAAAAGGTGAAAGAAATCCTCCTATCTAAAAGAAATAAGACAATCTATTGTTGACTAATATCCCAAACGACAATACTACTTAATATAGATCTGACTATTTGAGTAAAGGATATATACCTGCAATGAAATTTATTCCAGTTAGCTCTTTAGGAGTAGTTCACAATGCTCCTTTCAAAGGCATCACTGAGCATAAATAACAATATAATCCTAATAAACTTGGAACCTTCACTCCTAATGATAAAGCAGATATGCTCAATCATTCTTCTGGAGTCAACATGGGAGTAGATTAGAGTAAAATGCCTAATTTCTATTAGAGTACTTATAAAAACTCTTATTCACCAATGAAAGCTTCTCCTAATGAGAAAAATATAGGAGAATAACTAAAGCAAATCTCAAAGGGAGATTTTAATCCTAAAGGTGGGTAATTTAATACAACAACAACCCATAGAGATCACTATAGAAATAGGTTTAATAAAGTATGCCCAATAATCATTGAAAACTATGAGAGAACATAAAAGACTAAATATCCTCATAACACAATAAGTGATTTAGATAAGCTAAATATGTCTGTTAATATTTGATCTTTACAGTATTCTTCTATATTAATTAATTCGTCATATAATGCAAATTATGCTTTCTTTATTCAATCTTAAATTTAAAATATTTATTGAAATAAATAAATTATAACTGAAACAAACATTAATTTTTATAAAATTTAAAATAGTATATTAATAAAAACTAAAATATATATAAATTATTTTCAAATGAAAGAATTGATTTTATAATATTTTTTAAGATTTAATAACTTAGTATTTATTTTTGTTAAATCATATCAAAAATATATATATTTGTTTAATGATTAATAAATATTAAACAATATCTGCAACAAATTAAAGATATTTTTATATATTAAATTTAATATTTCAATCTTAGTTATTTTTAATTAAATTAAACTCGTTAAAAAGATTAATATAAATTTATAAAGATAATCATCACATAAATAGCAAAAAATACAAATAGAATGTTTAATATTAATTAGGTATCTAAATTAGCTATGGCATCACATCGTAAATTTTGATTAGCATTCTTAGATATGAAGTGGATAAACAAAATTCATTATAAATAGTTTCCTTAGGGAGAAGTTTGATGACTCCTTAGATAAGATATAATTTTGTAAATATTAAAGACTACATGTACAAAGATCAGAAAAAGAAACTAGAAAATTTTGATAATTACAACAAATGTAAGCCAATTAGTTTAATTTAATAGAATATGAGAGTATTAATTTAACATATTTTGTTATCTTCAATTAGAATACACTGGAACTGTTGAATAAATTGTGAAAAAGAGATAATAGTAACACACATATCTAGAGATAGAATAAGAAAAGAAGAAGGATTTGGATATTTTTATTGAAGCTTATTCCGATACTGTGATAGAATTTAAATTATATGGTGAGCATTTCGACTACAAAACACAAACTATTGATGCTATTCTAAATTACTATCAAGTTTCATATACAAGAGTATAAAATACTTTATTTAGCATTTACTAAATTAGTTTAAAATTTAGTTTTTAACCAAAGATAGATTCTTTCTGAATTTTTAAAACAAATTTAGAAAAACAAGCAAACAAGCATATATTCTAGAAAATTAATTAACACAAAATATGAATTTATGGAAAACTTTGTATTAAAATTATCTTTATTTAATTGTAGATGTTTAATCCACTATATCATGAAAGAATAAGAGCATAATTTGGCGATTAAATTAAAGAATGCAAAGTAAAATTTAAATTTATAATTATAAAATGGGGTTCATTAAATACTTAAAATTATTCAATAGTTCCCACTTCTTAGAATTAATATTTCTTTAGAACCTGCTAAATTTTTAGAACTTGAGTAAATGGAATCATGGTTAATAGATTAAGGTTTTATTATTTTACCTAAACATAGAACTCACAGTGCCTGGGCTACATAAGGAACAGAGTAAACTTTTTTCTTATTTCAATTATTTATAAATTTATTTTTTTTGACTTTAAAAATTATTTATTTAATGAATGAGTTTTTTAAATTAAATCTTAAATTAATAATAATAATAAAAGATTCGCCTAAAAATAAATGCATGAAGCTCTTAATAGATTGTTTTGGTCACCAGCAGTAATCAATTTATTTGTTTCTAAATATTTATTTTTATGAATTTTTAATATATTTATTTAGCTCACTTTCTAATTGTATTGGAAATCACACTCAAAGAGTTACACAGAATAAAGTAAAAGAGCCTTAGTCCTTAGAGTGGCTAGGTATTAATTTATTCATTCATTCATTAACTTACTTAAATCATTTATAATAAATTCAATCTTTAAATTAATTTTGAATAGAATATAATTTGTTTAAATCGTGACAAATTTATGGAAAAACTTGAGAAGTATAACAAAAGATATTGAGGCTTTTAAGAAAACTAAATAAGACGTGCTTAAATTAGTTAACGACTGGAAAGAAATGTTAGAGGAAAATGACTATCATGGTGGTATCAATCCTGATGAGGCTGATTTTGCTGTAAAATTCTAAAAATTTTCTTTTTCTTTTATAATTTAATATAATTTGATAATAAAATACTGAGAAAATTATAAATTTTTTCTCGATTTTTCTAAACAAGTTTTGTAAAATATATTAAGAAAAAGCAATTAATTTTTTAAATCATAAAATGGGTTTTATCCTTCTTTACATTTAAATTTATATTTTTAAATATTTAATGAATTTATTTATGTCTTTTTTAAATAAAGATGTATGGAGTAATAATGGCTAAATATAACTCTTAGTCTTTCTAAAGATTTATATAAAATGAATGGCCTGCTTCTGTCAGAAGATGGTTGATTAGAATGCAACAAAACTGTTAGTATGAAAAAAGAGACTTATATAACTGACAATAATATAATTTATTTTAATTTCCTAAGTGTTTATTTTAATTTTTATAATGCATTTTAAGTTTACTATATATTTAATTATTAATGTTATAACCCAAACATAGTTTGTTAATATATTTTTTTAAAGTCATATTCTTACTATTTAGGTTTACTTCAAATTGATTTTTTAATTTTTTACTTGTTTTTTACAAAGTAGAGAAGAATTAAGTATTTTTCAAAAAAATCATTTAAATTATATATTTAATTTTTAAATGATTTGGCAAATTTATTTAAATTTAAAATCAATTTCATTTAAAAATCGTAGTAAAAAACAATATTCTTGGTGAAAGTTATTAGTTCATATTGAAATAATTATGAATTAAAGCATTTTTATCTAGCCAGATTTATATTCTTAAAGTATTTTTTGATCTAGCAATATAAATTATTGCACAAAAGTAATTAATTTCAAAGTATTTGATTAGTTTTTCATTTTACTGACTAATTTACTTGCTAAACAGTGTGAAATTTGGAGGTGAGTAAACTATTGATAAATAGTATTAATATATATAAACTAAATATGAATTGATGTGACTGACTGACTGACTGACTGATGGACAGATTGATTGATCACTGATTTTTTATCAGATTTAAAGTGCTTAAAATAAATAAAAGTAGTCAATAATTAATTAATTAATACTTAAGATATTTAAGCCGCAATTAAAAACTTTATTTCCTTTTTAAAAGTATCTTGCTTGTAGCGTTTGAATTCTTAATCAAATTAAAGTTGTGAATTAATTAGTAAGTTTATAAAAAAAACAGATTAATCAATCTCTACGAACAAGTAAACAAAAGCAAGACTACCATTAAAAACCTTACAATAAACTGTTATTTTTTATCATTTAGTTGAGCTCTTGACCTTTTATATTTATACATAGCAGCACAAATAACTTTTTAAGTTTTACTGAAGAGATATGGTTTTTCTTTTGACTTATATGATGTTGAAGGAGTTCATCAGACCTAAAAAGCACTTCAAAAACTAAGGAAGATTTGAAGAGCAATACGAAACTTTGGAAACTATATCAGAAAATTCTGATACTGAAGTTCATATTTAGAAAGTTAAAAAAATTAGTGATAATAAAGTTTACTGTGCGAAAATCTTTTATAAAAATGTAGACATTAAGAGAGGAGATGCAAATGAGTAAAATGAAATAAAATATTTGAAAAAATTAAAGCATTCTAATATAGTGACGATAATAGAATATTTCGATGATGATGAAAAAATTGTTATAATTACTGAATATCTAGAAATCACTCTTTACGATGTGCTTAAATGCTACAAAAAGTTATCAGAATAAGATGTCAAAATTATTGCAAAAACAATTTTCATTATATTAGATCACCTCTAAAAGCATAATCTTGTCCATGGAGATCTTGTTTTACAAAATTTCATGCTTAAAAAAGAAGATGATTAATTTGATAGTTTAAAGATGATTGATTTTAATACCGTAGACACTGAAGAAAACAGAAGATCGACAAAAAAAATAACAAATAGAACATAATTTTTAAATTGCTAACCTACTTCTTTAGCACCTGAAACAATATAATAATATATAGTCAATAAGCAATCAGACGTTTGGAGTGCAGGAATAATGTTATATACTTTACTTTTTGGAACTGTTCCATTTGATGGAAAAAATCCTGAATAAATTTATGATAGCATACTTAATAAATAACCAAAATACTAATTGGAGGATGAATCTGGTCAGTGTGTAAATATATCTTAGAGGTGTGAATCATTTTTAAAAAGACTACTTCATAAAAATTATGAACATAGATATAGTGCTCGCTAAGCCTTAGAAGATCCATGGCTTTGTGAAGAATCATGAGGGTTTAAAATAAGATTAAAACTTCTAAAGAATACAAAATAATAATAATTTAAACAAAATCCTACTTTGATTGATGAAATAATATAAAATAATTAATTCTATATAAATATTTTAATTATTATCTTAAATCATAATAATATTATATTTAATTTATTAATTAATTAATAGCTTAATATAAAATTTGCTGTTTATTAAATTAATACATTCTTAATTTATTGGCATGCTACATAAATTTCATTAATATAATTATAAAATTCATTTTTATATTTAACCACAAAAAGAAAGATTTTAATTTCATCAAAATGTATTTAATTTTAATATTTATTTATTGTACTATTAAACATAAATCGAAATTAATAATATTTTAAAATTTAAGTATTAAAAAAAATTTTTTCTCATGATAAATAAAAAGAAGTTTTAAGAATTTTTAAATAATTTTTTCTTTTTCAAATAGAATTTAATTAGAATGAAGAGGAAAAAATTAACAATTGAAACGAGTTTAAAAAAAAGGTTATTTTATTATATCTAGTCAAATTAAACTATAGATATAAATGATATTATAAAGGATTTTCAGCTAATTCATCATAATAAGTGAGTTAAAGAAAAGTAAATAAAAACCTAAATTAAACAGATAATTAACATCATTAAAAAAACATAAAAACTAGACTTAAAAAATTAACTAAGTCAGTAATAAAATTTAATTAAATAGTTTGTTATATTGGACCTCGGGAATTAAATTTTGTGGATGCGGAAAAGTAAGAATTTAATACCTGAATTTGCTTTAAAATTGTAAATGAATAAATAAATAAATTATTTTATTTTAATTTAAATCATAAAATAAAATCTTATAATTTTATTTAATTATAAATTTTCATTTATTAATTTGTTAATTTATAATATATTTTAATTTTATAATATTACAAACTTAATTATTTTAAAAAATAAAATTAATTATTTAATTATTAAAAAATAGAAAGTGTAAAATTAGCTTTAAATCATAAAAATTAAATGAAATATCACGATCTGTACCTACTCAGTTCGTGATATTTTAATTACAGGATTAGCTATATTAATATTTAAAAAATTTACAATTATAAGAATATGAAATTATTTTATAAAAAAATTATTATTCATTTATAAATATTTGATTTTTTTATTAATTTTAAAATTTTTACAGCTTATCAGAAAGGTTAAAAGACCAAATTTGTACTTATTCCTCCAGTTCCATTACTAGCAACTCTAATGTGACCAGACTCTCCCCATTAAGTTCCCCAACTATTACGTATTAACCAGTAATCTGGTCCATACCCAATAATTGTAACAGCATGATTGCATTAAGTTTTAGCTGTTGTTCGGATAGAGTAAATTCCAATTTTGTATTTATCCCATCCAGAAGCATCAACACAAGCAGCAACAGCTCCGTATTTAACAATGGATTATTTAATTTATAAAATGTTATCTGGTAGATTTTTAAAACCACTTATCTTGTATAAATTATTACCCATCTCTAAAGTTTTACAGGTTCCATATACTTACTTATATGGATACATACTTCCAAGGGCAATTCCAGTATTAATAACAAAATTATAGGCTTCTGAGAACCAGCCTCCTTAGCAGCCATCTCTTTTATATAAACAGTCTACAAATTATTGCTCTGAAAAAGAAACATTAGTACCAGTTTTTATGCTATAAAGATTTTCAACTGTAGCAGACGTTGAAAAAGCCGTGTCACAAGCACAATTGCCTTGATTTTTAACCGCTTGTAATTTGCCTGGCCCATTTACTCTAATATCCCAGTCTAAAGGTAGAGACTGTAGTTTTCTTTCATCTTAGTCAGAGTTGCTTTATGAACTGCTTGATGTTTCAACTTCTTAAGGAATTATAACGCCTGTATGAAGTTTCAAGAATTCTTCTTTAGTGTAATCAGAAAACTAAGTGACATCAAATTTTGCAGTAGTGATTTCTTTATTTAACCTTTCAATTTCTTTTAGATTTTCAAGAAAAACATTGAATCTAAACAATTCGTGTTCTTAGGAATTGTATTTTTTAGCAAACGATTTTTTAAAATCTAAGAAAGATTATTATTACAAGTGCTTTTTGCCAAAGTCAGAAAAGCTTTACTGTTTGTCTTACCCAAGTACAAAAGCCAAAAAGAGTAGGATATAAAGTATTGATTTCAGTTATTATTTCATTTTTTTAATTTATTTTCTAAATCTTTTGCTTATTTAACATTTATAATTTTAATTTAATTTTTACTGATATTTAAATGAATGAAGTAAAAAAAATTATAAGAGCAAGTAGCTTTTGTTTTTTGAATAAATATTTTACTATTAACTAAAAGATAAATACTTCTTTTTCAAACTATTAATTAAATTATTCAAAATAGATAATTATATACTTTAGTTTGAATAAAAAACTATTAATATGAGTTACATCAAAATTTGAAATAAATTATCTATTGAATTTAATTATAAAATTTAAAAGAAATACCTTCTTTGCTACAAAAACAATAAGAAATAAGTAACCTGTAATATTCTATACTTAATTTATTAATTACAAAAAACTTTTTGAATTCTTAATCATTAAGTTTAGATGACATGATATATTTTAAAAAAAAGTAAACAAAACAAATTTATAATATCAAATATATTCAAGCTTAAATATCTGAATTAGGTTTGCTTTTATTTTTTGATAATTAAAAAAACTTGAAGCTAATTAAATTCTCAAAAACCACATATTTCATAAATTTATATTAATTATATTATTAAACTCCTATTTAACATTATCACTTAGAATGAATTTTCATTTATTCTCAAACCATATTTTTAAAGCTACTATATTTATATAGAAGTTTTTTTTTTTAAATTCATTAAAATAATATTTCCTGTTAATTATCAAACAATTTTTTAACAAAGTTTTTTTAAAATACAGGTAATTCTATAAAAATAATCCTTATTATAAAAATCTTTTTGGGGTAGATAGGCATGTTTATTTAATAAATTTATCAAATTAAAATTAATTTTTTGAATAAAAAATTTTCATTCAAGAATCAATCTGTCCTTGCTGTAACCCCCCTTTTTTATCAAATATTTAAAATTAATTTAATTATTAAAAAGTAAATTAACATTTAAATTTTAAATAGACTAAAAATTTTTAGCTAAATATTAAAAAGTAATTTGTTATTTACTAAACAACCCCAACTCAGTAACAAGCCTTTTGAGTTGATACAGGGGTTGGAGTTATTCAATTTAAAATAAATAGATTATAAAAAAATTCAACATTTTTAATAAGGGATTTATTTGGTTACAACAAGATTTGTTCATTTTTGAATTTAAATTTGAAAAATGAATTAGACTTTTTTTGACTAATAGTAAAATTATGGATAAATAAAAAATTAAGATTTGATGGCCTATCTTGTTAATAAAAATATAATTTTAACAATAGACTAAAGCAAATAATATACTTAAACATGTTAGCAATCTCTAACCTACTAATAAAATAATTTTCAAAATTTGAAGGTATCAATCAATGAAAATTTATAATGTTTATGAAGAAAACAAACTATAAATCATTAAAAAAGTTTATCATTGCTAGAATATGAAATTATTATATAAAAAAATTATAATCCATTAATATATTTTGGTTGTTTTATAAATTTAATAATTTTAATAGCGAATCAGTAAGGTTAAAAGGCATAATTTGTTCTTATTCCTCCAGTTCCATTATTAGCAACTCTAATATGACCATTCTCTCCCCAATTAGCTCCCCAACTATTACGTATTAACCAGTAACCTGGTCCATATCCAATTATTGTAACAGCATGATTGCAGGAAGTAGTTGATGCTCTTGTGTCAGAATAAATTCCAGATGAGTATTAACCCCAGTAAGAAGCATCAACACATACAGCCACAGCTCCTTTATTAACAATAGATGACTAAATTTAAGTAATGTTATCTTGTAGATTGTTAAAGCCGCTTATTCTGTATAAATAGCCTCCCATCGATGAAGTTGCACAGCTACCATATACTCCAGTATATGGATACATATTCTCAAGAGCTAGTCCAATACTCATAACAAATTAATAGGCAGTTGAGAACCAACCTCCTTAGCAGCCATCTCTTTAATATACACAATCTACTTATTACTACTCTGAAAATGATAAATTATAACCATATTTTATGTTATAGAGATTTTCAACAGTAGCAGTGGTTGAAAAAGTCCAGCAGCTACCACATTAGCCTTGATTTTTTACGGCTTGTAATATTCCAGGTCCGTTAGCTCTAATATCCCATGTAGAAGGTAGAGATTATAGTTTTCTTTCTTCTGAGTCAGAGTTGCTTTATGAGTTGCTTGACAATTCAGCTTCATTAGGAATTACAGCACCAGTAAAAAGTTTCATAAATTCTTCCTTAGTGTAATCAGAAAATTAAGTAACTGCAAATTTTGCGGAAGTGATTTCTTTATTTAGTCTTTCAATTTCTTTTAAATTTTCAAGAAAAACATTGAATCTATACTACTCATGCTCTTAGGAATGGTATTTTTTAGCAAAATTTTTTTTAAAATCTAAGAAAGATTATTATTATTAATGTTTTTTGCCAAAATCAGATAAGCTTTCCTGTTTATCTTGCCCAAGTACAAAAGCCAAAAAGAGAAAGATAAAAAGTATTGATTTATATTTATCCATATTTTTTATTTGATTAGTTTTCTAAATATTTTGTTTATTTAATATTTATAATTTCAATTTATTTTTTTTACAGTTATTTAAATGAAAAAAGTCAAAATGGTTAAATTAAAAGAGCAAGTAAGTAGCTTTTGTTTTTTAAATATTTATTTTTCTTCTCCTTTACTTAACTATTATAGAAATAAATAAAAACTTATCAAATCAATATTCTCTATTGAATTAATTCTAAACTAAAAAACTGATAAATACTTCATTTTCAATTTTCAATTTAAATATACTTAGTAGATTATTATCTACTTCACTTTAAATAAACAGCTATTAAAATTAATTACACTAAAATTTAAAATATATTATCTGACTAATTAACTTATGAAATTTATAAGAAATACTTAATATGATTCAAAAAAATAAATAACCTATTATATACTATTTTTAATTTTCAATTTATTTTTAAACTCATTAACAAAAATACAAAGAATTTTTGAAATTCATAACTTTACTGTTTTTGTTTTGGCGATTTGATAATTTTAGAGAAAAAACAATACAAAAAATTGTAATTTCAAACAAATAAATTCAAGCTTTTTAGCTTTTTCAAATCAGTTTATTTTTATTTTTATTTTTGATAATTCAGGTGAAGATAAAAACTGAATTATCACACATAATAAATTATTAATAAATAGATTGTTAAGCTTCATTTAGAGTTTACAGTGAATTTTTATTTATTCTGAAACCATATTTTTGAAGCTACTATATTTGTAAATATGTTTTTTAAAAATATGTTATAATAATCGAAGTTAAATAGCAAACAATTTTTAAACATTTTATTTTTAGATATACAGATGATTCTGTAAATACAATCTTTATTATGAATCAAAAAAAAAGATTTCTTAATAAAATTTTTTAAAGTTTTAAATTTTCAAATCAATAGGTTAAAATAGAAGGTTTTAAAGGAAAGATTAGGCAATATGAAAGATGAGGAGGGTATTTATTTATTGAATTTTAAATTTTATTTAATATTAAAAGATCAAAATTAATAATACTTTTCAATTAATTTATTTGAGATTGAGCTTTCTTCAAAATATTTGAAGCACTATAGAAAATATTTAATTTATGAACTGTTTCTTTACACTTTTAATTCGCGCGCGTTTTATTTTATAGAAAAATAATTAATTAATTGATGGATTAGTTTTTAATGAAAAATTTTACCATAGAAAATAACTCCACTAAAATTGCTAACGAAAGATTCGTATCTCTAATCAAGTGAAAATAAATTACAATTGTTTTTGATTTTGATTAACAAAAAAATTAGTCTTCTTTCATATCTTTTAAATTTAAATTCCTTTTTTTTGATTTGTCTAAAATAAAAACAAAATGTATGCTTCTTATTAATATTTTCTTTATTTTATCATTTACAAAATATAAAAAATTATCATACTTTATTAAATTTAGATGTAAAAAGCATATATTAAAGCTTTCAGTTCATTAAATAAATAAGTGAGTTTACATTTTTCTTAAAATATAAAATTATTTATAAATTTTCAAGCTATTTTTGTTCTATTATATTAATTTAAAAATTTATTTTTTTAGAAAACTACTTTAACAAATGCTTTTATTTAAAAAATAAATTAAACATTTTAATTACATAGAGTTTTTTCTTTTAATCTTTAAAATGATTACAACAGTTTTTTATATTAAAATATGGAAAAATATTTAGAATACCAAATATAAATATTAATAATCTTTCATATAAAGTCAGACTATAAATTTTTAATAAAATATTTTGATTTAAAAAATAATCTACCTGCTATTTTCTAGCAACACAGACTAGTGAAGATATTTTTTATAATAGAATTAAAAAATTCTAACTGGTACTATTTTTATTTTTAACTTATACTATTTTATTAATATATGATGATTATGGTTTATTCATAAATAGACAAAGCAATTTGATAGTAAAATAAAGTGTCTAATTTAACTGAAATCAATTAGGGTACCTTATATTTAACATATACAATTTCACAATTTCATATTATTCTTAACAAATTTTAGAATGAAATTGTTTTCAAGCAGATAATAGACATTTATAACCTAGAGGTGATGCTTAATCTTAGTTATTTAATTAGCTATAGAGTTACTGAATGAATACCAGCATACACCAAATATTATAGTTACTATAAAAAGTTGATAAATAATTAAAATTAATTAAATAAGTTATAAATAATCATAATATTTATAACAGTTTTTAAGAAGAAACTCCTTCATAATTTTCATTATTTCATCTAAATAAACAATTAGATAGGAGTAATGATCAATATTAAAGGATTTAAATAAACCTTTTTATGCTGTCAATAATTAATCATTATTATTAATTTCTATTATTTCATATAGATCTTACAGCTTTTAATTAAAATACTGGGCAGATAATTTTAGTCCTTTTTAAAGGAAGCCGTTATAAATGCTTTTACAAAAATTAGGATTAAAAATAGTAGAATTAGAGATGTATTATGAATTGTTTGCAATCAAAGAGCACATATCTCCTTCAAACAAAGGAAAAAAGAAATGGTCAAATTAATCTTGTTAATATCTAATTTATTTTTTTAAAATGATTAAATCGTTATTAATATAAAAACTAATTTATTACCTCTCATTTCTATTAAGTTATTCAGAAATATGAGTTAAATTTGTTAGCATTTATTAGTTTCTACTCATTGTAGATCTTATTTCAGAAATGTAATCTTATAATTTCACCAGCTTAGTGTTAGGATATACTTTCATATTGAATCCGTGAGACACTATTGCTGAGCTATAAAGTATATGAGTTCTTGCCAAGTTTAAATTCTCTTTTTATTTCAAAAATAAAAAAATAATTTCAAGAATTTTATAATAAGAATAATTAATTAATTAATTTATTTTTGATATTAGTTTTTATTTACCTAGCATCATTAAGTTGTTATTCAAATTGTCCAGATATTTTTAGATAAAAATTTTATTGAAAATGGGATAAAACGCTAATATTAAGTAAGCAGCACAAATAATGATCAATATAGAATAGCTAAAATGAGGTAATTTTGTTATCTAGCTTAAGGTTTACTTTTTTTGGTTCTCAGACTCATTAGATGATTTATGATTGAGTATTTCGATTTCAACTGGTATATTTTTTATATAAGGACTCATAGTTTTATTTAAATAATATGATTGTCTAATTTAAATAATCATATTTTAAAGTAAGTTAACTGGAAAAGTACAAAAAAGTTAGATAATTTTGTCTTTTCTTTTTTAAGTATAAGAATAGAGTGGAAGTACACAAAGTAAGCAAAAAGCTGAAATTATTAAAATCATAGCAATCAAAACTGATAATTGGTTCTAAATTTGCTAAACTTATTAGTTTTAGTAATTTTAAAAATAGAATTTCGTGTCTATAATCCCTGATATGATTTCATTCAAGTTTAATAAAACACTAATCTCTTGAAGCTTTCCATTAGGATTTATAGATTGTTTGTACATGTAATAATTAACAAAAATTATTGAGTAAAGCAAAGAAGAATTTTTTTCTTCAAAATAGTAGTTTGATCTCGTTGAAGGTGAACCTTTAATTTTTAAAGGATTGTAAAAATGATCAGCTTAAAAAGAAGAGTTGTAATTGCTTATTTTTTCGAAGAGCATTTTTCCATTCAAACTAAAATCCATAATTTGCAATTAATTCTTAAATGAAGAATAGCTTTATTTTAAGTAAGATAATAAAACAGCATCATAATTTTACTAATCAGAAGTAGATGGAAAAGTGAAATTATTTTATCTTATGCTTTTTATGATATTTTAAACAAGGACTTATCTGGTAATTTCATTTTCCACCTCAGAAGGCCAACTTTAAGAATTAAGATTTTGGTTCATTGTGTCTACAGTACCCATAAAAGAACAGTACTATTATATCGAAATAATGATAAGTGCTAGATATGTTAGTAATCCAAATAAATTAACAATTCTTATTGCTTTTAAATTATCGTGTCTTCTTATAGTCTTTATAAGTCTTTTTTTTATAGATGAAGTGGACTCTCTTGACATGCAAGAAGAACTATTATCTATCATTTCTTCTTTGATCTTTTTTTTCATTGACTTTTATTATTTCTTCGATGAAAATATTTAAGTCGATTTCTTACTGAAATTTATATTCTTGAAGTTTTAAGGTGTTAATTCTTGAGTTTAATAAAATTTTTACTATTTATTTACTTATTTTACTTTTTCAATGAATTTCAAAGATGTTGAATCTTTATTACTGTAAAGGGGAGAGCAAATTTATTCTTTTTGATTAAATTAGCACATTTCTTTTAAGTTGCTATCGCATTTTGTTAAATTTTCTTAGTTTTTTTAAACATTTCTATTGTCTATTTACAAATAATATGGATTTTCTAATTAATTTTCATCTATATTAGCTTTTTATTAAAAAGAAGTAACGTTTGTTTAACTATTAATAATAGCTTCACTGAGAAGCTCTCTATTTGTCTCTCTTCTATTAGAGGTTAATGGCAAAATATAATTTTCTTCCTCTTATTAGGATTAATATTATTTGATATACTCCTAAGCCAGAGCTTCTTAGCTTCTAAAAGTTTAACTTTAAACTCCTATTGGGGAATAAATTGAAGGAGTGCTATTTTCCTCAGCAAAATTAATACTTTAGGTGCAATTAATTATTAATGTTTTTTTTTATGTTTTTTATTCTTCAGAATTTTTTTCTTTAATTTTGTAAGTTAATTAATTGCCTGTATTGTTTTATAATTTATATTCTTATAAGTTCTTAGAAGATGTTTTCTCGTTTTCACTAAATTTACCAAGAACCTTTTGATCTAAAAATTGTTATTTATCTTATGAAGCTTAAAATTCTTTGCTTTTCATAAATTAGTTTTCCTTTTAATTTTATTAGATTTTTAAAAAATTTGTCATGCTTATATCTTACGATCCAATTCTTATTAGCTGATTTTCTAATTGAGCCTTTAAAGCTTCTAAAGTAGCTTTTGTAAATATTTTAGAATAAAACTCATTATAATCCTTAAGATATTTAATTATAATAGGTGAATGGAACTCTGGGTAAATAAATTTTACTTTAGAAATTTTTAGATATTATAAATTTTCAATATCCTTATACTCACAGTTAATCATACTTATCTCCAGTAAAAAGAAAGAAAAGTTTTAAAGTTTAGCTTCTTAGTTTTTTACTTCATTTGAAAATTCAATATTTTAAATAATAAGCAAATATTCTTAATTTTCTAGTTAAAAATTTTCAAACTAATTTTTTACTGTTTGTGCATTAGTTTCTTCTTTAAAACTCTATTAAGAAAGTAATTTCTTCAACGAATTAATTTTTTTAGTTTCAGAATCTAACCTTGTCAGATTTTTCTGTTATTAATTCAATTATTTGGTTTTCCTGTCCTACCTTAATTTGTATAGGAATGGAAAGAATTGACCTAAATCTATTTACTTTAGTGATGAAATATTATATTTAGTAAAAATATTCGATTAAAGATTTTAAGTAACTCCTATAACACTCAAAGAATCAGATTCAAATAAAATATATTCATTTTCATCATCTATTAGCTCTATATAGGCTGTCATACCTACTTCGTTTAGTCCATTACAGTAATTGAGGCGTACATCAATTTTCATGGGAAAAATAAATCCTTTTTACTAAAAACCAAATAAAAGTTTGTTTTTCAAGTTAGAAATATTATTATTTTCATTTTAAAAGTAGTTAATAATATATTATTTATGTTTTTTTATCACTTAAATTTTAGGAGGCATTAATACCTCTATTTTCCTATCTACTGCTTCTTTCTAGTTAATTCCAAACAAGCGAGTGAAATTTGAAGATACTTTTTTGATATACAAATTAGAGCTATCTTCAAATGAAGCAAATAAAACACAAGAATGCTTACTAAATACATTTAAATCTCCGTAATAATTATTTTAATTAAAAAATTCTTTGTTGATTAGACTCTTTTTATAACTCTATCTTAACTTAAACTTCTACTTAATAATCTAAGTATTAATTTATGAGACATGAACCTCATTTATGTTTTATAAATCAAAATCAATAATTAAGTCTTTTTCTTCAAAAGAAAGAGTTTCTTAATAACAAACTTACAGAGTAATTAAGTCTCTATTTGAATTATTAATTATCGACAACTCATTTAGACCTTTTCTTATTTTTTATTGAATTTCTCTCAATTCAATTACTTTTTTGATCAAATCCTACACTTATATTTATTTGTTTTTTAAAAGAGAAATAAATTCTACTTTTTATTCCATTGCCTTGTCCATCATTTGGAACATTTATTGTATTTTTTCTTCATACAATATTACGCTATAAAATAATTAGTCGAAATTATTTTAAAACATCAATGTCTGTTACAAAACTTATCTCTACTTTAAGAAGTTAATATGAATACTCTTTAAAATTTACTCCTACTTTAGACCAATCTTCTACTTTCTCATTTATTAAAACTCATAGAAATAAGATTTAGTGCATTTAATAACTTCAAGCAAAAATAATAAATAAACAAATCTATAATTTAATTCACTCTTTTTGTTTGAAAGTTTTTATATTTATTCTTTAAAAAACTTCATGATGCTTTGATTTTCATTTTCCCCATTTTCTATTTCTTTTACTAAGATTTTTAAAGAAAGCTAATTTGTTGCTTATGTTTAGATGCTATTTATTGATTCTTAGTGAAACTATTATTTTTTCTTATTTATTTAGCTATAAATTCCTATTTTTTAAGTATCATTAACTTTTTGCGTTTGCAAATCATTAAAAACCTATAACCTAATAACTCTATCTACCATTTTTAAGCTAACATTATTGTTTTCTTCGAAGATATCTTTAATAAGTGTATTGTGAGTGTTATCTTCCCATATGCAAAAATAATGAGCAATTTTATAGAAAATTGGTAAGTATAAAACTGTCATTAGAGATGGTATATTTATTTTGGATTATACTTATATGCAAATATAATAGGTTAGGCAAATACTACCTAAATAAAGATAAGTAAAGGTATTCCAAAATCTAGTTTGATACTAGTAATATGTGCAAATGCGGCAAGAAAACCACCCGTTTATCAAAAAATAAATTCCTAAAAACAAAGTATCTTAATTAAAATTAGTATTAACTATTAATAGCATAATCAAAAAGTCTAAATAATAAATAATAACATTATATGGATTATATGGTCTACTCATACAATCTTTAGTATTTACAGAATAGTCAAAGTCTGAGTCAATTATAAATGTGCCTATTATTAAATAATAGTAATATGCATAAATGAAAGAATTCTATATAATTCTATCTAAATTGATTAATTTAAGACGAGTATTTTTTAAAGTATAAAAAAAAGTAAGAAACTCTTTATATTTTGAAGAAGATATTAAGAATTTTGGTAAAAAAATTTATTTATTAATATCTTTTGAAATTTTGTTTAAAATTTTTGAAAGTTTTTACCAGAAATCAAAGTAAGCAAAATATTTATAGGAGCTAGAGGGTGGCTAATCTACATCAAGCTGTAATAAAAAATAGGCGTAGTTAATAAAAATTAATATATTGATATGTAAAAACTCATCATTTCATAAATTTTTAGTTGCATTTTTTTATTCAGTTTAGTAATGAATTCATCTTCATCTATTTCAATGTTACTTGTATTGGAAAAAGATCCTTTTATAATTGGTTAAATTGTTGTTTTATACCCAAAAAGAATAAAACTTATATAGCAGCTAACAAAATAAGTAATTAGTATAAAATTTAAAGCAAGGCTTATAAACTAAAACAAATTTGCATTATTGTTTGTTTACCATCTATTAAAGTAATCATTATCTTGAATAAATTTTAAATTTTTGTCATACTTTACTATTTCAATGTAATCTGAATTATAAATTCCTAGCAAAATAAACAATATTCCTTTTCCTAAAATCAAAAGCAGACTAAAGAATTATCCTCTTTCAAATCCTTTAACAATAGAATAAAAGTAGAGAGTATAAAAATTTCTTGAAAAATATTGAATTATAGGAATTATCCCACTTTTTAGTTTCATTTGCAATTTCAGCTGAAAATTCTATTTGCTTTGTTTAAACTCAAAATACTTTTTTATGAATTAATTAAAACTAAAAACAATTTAATTTATCTTCAAGTTTTATTTTAAGATTTAAGCTCTATTACAATTTACTTGAAAGTCTCTATATTTGGTAATAAAATCTAATTATGAATTACAAATTGAAACATTAATTAATTATTTCAAAGCTTATTGGTAATAGAAATAATAGTTTTTGACAACATTTAACTCATTTTAAATAATTAAAGAACTATTTTATTTATTAGCGATAAAAATAATAATATTCAAGATAAAAAATATCAATACTAATTAGATAAGGCTATTATTTGAAACAAGAAACATTTTTTATTTAGTATTTTTTTTAAATTGAACTTTGATTGTATTTAAATTCTATCTAAAAGTCTATAAGATTGAGTATTTTTCTTCTATTTAAATAAAAAATATTGATATTCATGTAAATAAATGCCAAGCACAATTTCATAATTAGCATTGCAGGTTTTTGATTAATTATCATACTAAATGACGTCTATTTTAATAATTTTCATTATAATATACTTCGATATCAGAAATCGCTTACAATTTACAAGATTTGAGAAATAAAAAAGAAATTTAATTTACTATTTATAAATTTAATATTGAAATAATTTTTGTATTTTTTTCTATTTTAATTAATATATCTAAAAAAGGGTATTATTTATTTATACCTTTAAAGTTTTAAATTGCTCAATGTAAAAAAGAAATTTAAATGAATTATTTTTTTAGATAAATGTAAAGATAAAATAATTTGAAAGCTGATCTAAGCTAATTTAAAGATAGATTTTATATCTTATTAACACTTACTTTTCTGCATAAAAATTTTCATTATTTTATTATTATTTTCTTATTAATAGCAATAAAAGTGATATTGGACAAATAATTAATTGCTCCATTATTATCATTATCAATTATATTTTTTGTAAATTTTATTTTGAACATGTAAACTTTTCAATAATTTTTGTTAAATTCTGAAATATTAATATTTAAAATGTTATTAATCAATTAAATATTTTTTTAAATTAAAAAGTGATTAACATTTTATTTTAAAGTAGAAAAAAACTAGATAGGGGGAAGGGTTGGTTTTAATTATTGAGGAACTAAATAAAGTAAGTTTATAATTATATATTTAAGATATTGTAATACTTGCTTGCTATATTTTTAATTTAATATATGAGGAAGTGTATTCCACTCAAATTTCCTTGTTTTATTTGGGAATTTAATAAATTCTTTAAATTTATTGATTATTTCATTTTTTATTTTAGTAAATAAAGATAGATCCTAATTTATTTATTATCCATCCTAAGTAGTTTATTCATTTAAAAAAAAAAATTATCTTAATTGTTGATGATATAAAAATAAATTTATACTTTTATCTTAAAATTTTATTTAAATTGGTATAAATGCACTTATTTGCTCTATACAACCTATATATCTAATTGAAATTTGCTTGCAAAAAAATTATTGGGTATTAGAAAATGATTAGATATATTATAAATATTCCCCTCATTACTGGGTGAACTAAAACAGAAAAATCTTCTAAATAAAAATGGTTTTATAAAATTTAAGATCAGTGATTACTTGGATTTTTTCAACTTATGACTGACTGACTTCTCATTTCTAATTCCTACTATATTTTTAACTAAATATTTTAAATAGAAATATTAAGACTAAATGAATGTTACACTAACTATTTTGTGATATATTTTCCTAAAAGCAACTTTATATATTGATATTTGATAATTATTAAAACTTTTTTGCTCTTTTTATCCATTTAAAATTAATTAAATTTCAATAAATTTCTATTCAATCTTTTTGAAGAAAAAAATATAATTTGTTCTTTTTATAATTGCTGGGGATTAGAAAATAATTAGATATATTATAAATATTCCCCTCATTACTTGATGGACTAAAACAAAACAATCTACTAAATAAAAATTGTTTTATAAAATTTAAGGACAGTGATTACTAGAATTTTACAATATATGACTGACTGACTTCTCATTTCTAATTTCTACTACATTTTTAACTAAGTGTTTTAAATAGAAATATTAAGACTAAATGAATGCTACACTAACTATTTTGTGATATATTTTCCTAAAAGAAGGTTTATAAATAGATATTTGATAATTATTAAAACTTATTCGTTCTTTTTATCAATTTAAAATTAATTAAATTTCAATAAATTTCTATTCAATCTTTTTGAATAATAAAATCTATTTTGTTCTTTTTATCAATTTATAATTAATTAAATTTCAATAAATTGTAATTCAATATTTAAAAAAAAAATAAATGTCATAATAGATTAAAAATTACGACGATTTAGAAGAAGTAATTGTTTATTTTTTTACAAATATTCTATAAATTTATTTTTTTTTAATAAAATAAGTTCTTAAACTCTTCACTCTAATCTCATAAGGTTCTCAGTATTTCTTTGAGGTATATATATATTTAATTTATAAATATTATTATTCTTAATATTTATTTAAATATTTAACTTTGAATTTATTTATAATATTTCATTTTTCAAAAAAAAATTCTTATCTATATAACTTAATTTTCACTTTCACTTTCAATTTTTAATTATTCAATAATCTTTATTATTTGGCATTTTTGTTAATTTTTTTGCTTCTAAAACTTTTACTTGATAAAAACAGTTTATTTTTTTTTATCGTGATATTTTTAATTATAAAAATTAATTTAATACCACAAAACTCATTTAATTTATTTTATTGCTTTTTATTTGATTTATTTTTCTTTTCCTTTTTAATTTTGCTTGTGCTTTTTTTTGTTTGTTTGTTTCTTTCTTATTTTTTTAATTTAAAACATTTTTTTATTTTTAACATTTGCTATTATTATTAATTAATTCATATAATATTTTTTGTTCATATTTTCCATCTAAATAACTAACTAAATATATATTTTTTCTTCAATATTTAAAAAGTGGCAATGAAATTGGTGATGAAGATGCATCAAACTTAGGTTCTGCTTAAGCAAAATGCACTAATCTTTCAAATTTGACAATTAACTTAGGGTAAAAACACTTTATTTTTTATTCGTTTTGTATTGTGATATTTTAAATTATAAAAATGAATTTAAAATAATAAAACTCTTTGAATTTATTTGATCGATTTTAATTTGATTTATTTTTCTCCTTCTTTTTTATTGCACTTGTGTTTTTTTTTTGTTTGATTATTAATTTAATTCAT